CTGCCTCTCTCTCGCTCTCTCTCTCTGTCTGTCTCTCGTGAATAAATAAAAAAATCTTTAAAAAAATATAAAACCGATTTGGGCTAAGTTGTTTTTTTTTTTTTTTTTTTTTGAGAGAGAGAGAGAGCAAGAGTGAAAGAGTACAAGCAGGGGGAGCGGCAGAGGGAGAGGGAAGAAACAGACTCCCCGCTGAGCAGGGAGCCCGACATGGGGCTCCATCCCAGGACTCTGGGGTCATGACCTGAGCCTAAGACAGATGCCCAACCGACCGAGTCACCCAGGTGCCCTTATCTAAATTGTTCTTAAAAAAATTGTTCTTCTTGAGTTCTTGTGAATGTTAACAGAACACACGAATTCATGTTAATTAGATGTTCAGAATCGATTAAAGCTAGTATGTGTTTGGGGGGATACCCAAATTAAGGAGTCAGGAAACTCTTTCCTGACGACGTGGCCTCTAACTTTTTGCATTCAAGTGAAACTCCCAATTCATAATTTCAGAGCATGGCTGTTTGGGCACTAAGACAAAGTAGTAGTAGGTTAAGCTTATGACAGTGTATGCCTGCCAGTTGGATAGGTATAGATCTCTGGTTATCCATGACAGAAGTTTTGTCAGATAGAGTTCAACTATACATCCTGAAAGTGTTTGTTCAGAAGCTGAGTGAATCCATATGACCTTTATATTTTTAAAAAATAAATAATACAAGTACATGACAAAAAAATTTTTTAAGTGCAAAATGGGATATAGGGTATATTCAGTGAGAGGTCTTCCCTTCATCTGACCTCGTTTGTGCTCCCCCGCTCCTTCATCTTGGGGATGGCATTAGCAGTTTTTGGCATGTCCCCAGGGGGTAGTCCATACATGTACAAGTGTGTATTATCTCTTTTTTTTCTTGACATAAATGATTGCACACCATTCTATACAGTGGGTTTTTTACTTGAAAACATGTCTTGGAGATTGTTTCCTATCAGTACATTTAGATTTGCTTTATTATAATAGCTGCATGGCATTCTATCCTGTAAATGTACATAGTTTGTTTAACTAGTCCTTGACTAATATCTAGATTGTTTTTAGTCTTTTGATACTACAAAGAATGTTACAGGAAACTTCCTTGCACATACTTCCTTGTGTGAGTATTTCTTTAAGATCCATTCTTAGAATTGCTGGGCCAAAGGGTATGTACACTTCTGGCATTTTAGACAAAAAGTGTAATTTTATTAGTCTTTTTATCTTGTAAAACTTTTTTTTTTTTAAGTAATCTCTACGCCCAGTGTGGGGTTTGAACTCCTGACCCTGAAATCAAGAGTCACAGGCTCTACTGACTGAGCCAGCCAGGCACCCCCACTTGTAAAACATTCTTACAACCTTTTTTGGAGCGGGGAGTAGGGTGGGGGGGGAGGAAGAGCAGAGGGAGAGAGAGAATCTTAAGGAGGCTCCACACTGGGCGACGTGGGGCTTGATCTTACAACCCTGAGTCAGACACTTAACCGGCTGACCCACCCAGGCACCCCCATTCTTAACAACTTTTGATAAGGAATGGGATAAAATAGTTATATTACATTTAACCAAGAGTGCCATTTTTTCTGTTGTTGACTGCTGTTTGACAGGAGGAAACTTACTGGATTTGGAAGAAGGTGACACTTTATGGTTGAGGGTGAACTAGAATATAAAAGCTATGTTGCTTATAATTATCAAAGTATTGCTGGATTGATTCTAGTTGCTTGTATTTCAACTTGATCTTTTCATTAATGTAGTTAAATGACTGAAACAACCTGGTGGTATGGTCCTAGAGAGCAAAACTGTTTTAATATTAACTGCTTCTGTATGGGTCTTAAGTTTTCAAGGAGATTAAATACTGTACAGCTCACCAGGTATAACTGACCCACTCTATTTCCTGCCCTCATTATGTTCTGTAGGCACTGGAAGCAATAGAGCTTGTAGTTTGCTGACTGAAAGTTGGAATCTAGAATAGTTTTTTTCTTTCTCGGAATAATACATTCCTGAGATTTCAGAGAAGACCAGACTTCTTGTATTTATTAGCTTTGTATGTAACTAATATAGAAATAATCCCTTAGGATACTAATAATAATTGTTTAAAATTTTATCATGAAATATTTCTGCCTAAAATTATTTAACTATAACCTTTTTTTAAAAAAAAGATTTTATTTATTTGAGAGAGAGCAAGAGCATGAACACAAGTGAGGGGAGGCAGAGGGAGAAGCAGACTCCCGACTGAGCAGGGAGCCTGATGCGATGTGGGACTCCAACCCAGGACCTGGAGATCATGACCTGAGCCGAAGGCAGAGCTTAACCGACTGAGCCACCCAGGCGCCCCTAACTATCACCTTTATAGACTACAGGCTCAGGGTAAAACACACTACTATCTCAATTGTTTTCTTTTTTTTTTAAGATTTTATTTATTTATTCATGAGAGACAGAGAGAGAGGCAGAGGGAGAAGCAGGCTCCCAGGGAGCAGGGAGCCCGACGTGGGGCTCGATCCCAGGACCCTGGGATCATGACGTGAGCCAAAGGCAGACGCTTAACCATCTGAGCCACCCAGGCGCCCTATCTCAATTCTTAAAATCTTATTTTGGGTAGGAAATTTCCTCAGATGGATTAAACACTTCTGTGACTTACACAGGATATCAGTCATCACTGCAAAAGTAATCTAATTTAGTCAGTTCTTGGTGAGTAGGGCCACATTCAAAGAAACTTGAGTTATTTTTTTAAAAATATTTTATTTATTTATTTGGCAGAGAGAGACACAGCAAGAGAGGGAACACAAGCAGAGGCAGTGGGAGAGGGAGAAGCAGGCTTCCCACCGAGCAGGGAGCCCGATGTGGGGCTCCATCCCAGGACCCTAGGATCATGACCTGAGCCGAAGGCAGACGCTTAATGACTGAGCCACCCAGGCGCCCCAATTTGAATTATTCTTAATAATAATATAATTAATAATAAAATATTAATAACATTATTTTTCACAACAATAATAACGTTCTCAGAGTTGATCAAAGTATAAAGAAGAGCTCTTTGCCTCATATGAAGTGGTCCAAGACCTTTTCCTATAAGAGTTAAAGTCTCAGAGCTGATTTGTGGTGTCTAATTTATTATGGGTTAGGATAACCTTATAACCTGACTTCTTAGAATTATATGTATAATAAAAGGATAAAAGCTCTGGGTGGGGCCCAAGGGGCTGAGCTGTGATTGGAATCCAAGTGTCTACTGCTAGTCTCAGTGGTCAGATATGTAAATCCCATTCGGATAAGGTGCTAAAGAGGGTTTGAATGTAGTCAGTGTTACTGGCATCTACTGGCTGGTGTTAGCCATCTAGTGGGTTTAAACCTGATAGGAGGGACATGGCTAGTTGTCCACTGTAACAAAATACTTGATATTGGTGATTATAGAGACAAAAGATTATGTTTTCCAAATTAGCAAGTGGTGGTATGTTTTACATCTGGGAAGATGGATGAAACCTAGAACGCTTCAGCTCTGAATTCCAAATTCTTTATTTTTTTTATTTTATTTTTTTAAAGATTTTTATTTATTTATTGAGAGAGAGAGAGAGAATGGTAGAGAGAGAGCATGAGAGGGAAGGTGGTCAGAGGGAGAGGCAGACTCCCTGCTGAGCAGGGAGCCCGATGCAGGACTCGATCCTGGGACTCCAGGATCATGACCTGAGCCGAAGGCAGTCGCTTAACCAACTGAGCCACCCAGGCACCCTCCAGGGACAGAATATATTGGTAGATTATCTAAGAAAAGAAAGTAGAAGAATGTTCAGATAGGAACAAGGGAGAAGAGAGAAAGACTTTTCAGTAAAAGATAACTAAGGAGAGGCTTTATAACTTGTTCAGTAGGACCGTTCTTAGTGGGATTTAAGTGGGGGTTGGGGCTAACAAATATTACCTCATCTTTCTCCTTCTAAATTTGAAATCCAGGGCACCTGGGTGGCTCAGATGGTTAAGCGTCTGCCTTCGGCTCAGGTCAGGATCCCAGGGTCCTGGGATCGGGTCCTGCATTGGGCTCCCTGCTCCTTGGGAGCCTGCTTCTCCCTCTGCCTCTCTCTCTCTGTCTCCCTCTCTCTGTCTCTCATGAATAAATAAAATCTTTAAAAAAATAATAATAAATTTGAAATCCACTGAGAAATAGATTCCTTAATCAGTAGATTGAAATGTAAAAAAAGCCAACCTTATTGGTGGGGTTGACTGGAGAATATTCCATAGATCTTTGGCCAAATGGGCTTATGACCATCCTCCTCCTCCCCCCAGTTAAACTTAACCTGTCAGGGCGCTAGACCTCTGGGACAACCCCTCGTTAACTCCCTTGCGGGATGGAGAGAAGTGCTGGCATCCTGCAGACTATGCCTAGTCCTTCTGGTGCCTCATCTCTCCCTGAGTGCCCAGGAAGGGAGAGCCATGGTGATTAGTTTCTTCTTTTGGTTGTTGAAGGGTTGAGGAATGAGAAGCATTATAGGGGAAGTCTCTCTCTCCTCAGGAAATAGGAGGCTGGGAAATAATGGCCCTCCAGTGGTGAGGTGCTATTTTCCCCCCTTTCCAGAAAATTGAATCGTGAGCTTAAATTGTTTCTTAGATCAAAAAGAGTCATAGATCTTTGTCCTTAAAAACTTATAAAAGTTGGGGGAAATCCATCTGGTTTTAAATAAATACTTGAGTTAATCTGGAAGCAAAGGCAGAGACTGGGGGATTGCTTAGCAGCCTCTTTGTGGATGCTTATTAAAAAGTATTTGCCTACTTCCCTGAAATATCTTTTGCTTCAGTTTGGTTTTAAAGTCTTGCTAGCAAAAAGTGATTAAGACTTTTTAATTTTTATTAAATATCTCTTAATCATACCCTGAAAACTGTAATATTTTCAAGGTTCTTTAATTTAGTAGGAGAATTATTCTTTTCATCTAGTATGGGGTCAGTTGTATGGAGTAACAAAATGCTTGTTCTGAACTTGTTAGTTTATTCTTGCTGATTCCTGTCTCCTTTTTCTCCTTTCCAGAATCCTATTCTAAGTACTTGGACACTCAGGCATCCACCATGGTGTTGGGTCCTGAACAGAAGATGCCAGATGGTAATTTACAGCTTTGTTATTGTCTGATTTTTACTAGGAATTAGGTTTAAATCAGTAATAGAAATTGACCATATTTTCCTTCTTGTCATCTGTTACAACAAAAATTGTCCTTAAATCCTCTTCCCTAGCTAACAGTATAATCATAGAGACCTGCTTCAATCAGGTCCAATCCAGTCACCATCTAGTAACTTAGGCTATAAATGATAACCATAAATATCTGTCTCATATCTTATTTCCAATTCTGAGCTGAGCCAAGATAAGCTTCAAGTTTGGTTTCTGTAGCAGTAATGCTTGCAAGGGCAAGTATTAATCACAGGCCTGGCATAAAAACCTTTAGAATGCTTTGGCACTTCACAGCACTGCAGATACTTATATTAAGGAGCAGTAAAATACCGAGCAAGCTCATTAAACTTTGTATTCCATAGATCTTCTGGAGTGTTTTGACTAATTCTTTCTAATTCTAAATTTCCCCTTTAGAAATTCTAAATTTCCCCTTTTCATTCCTTTTCTTTAAATTTCCTCATCAATTCAGGGCCATTTCACACTTCCTATAGAAGGAAAGCTTTTGTTTTTCTAACTGGATGTTGCAAGGATTTCTTGGAAACCCTGACATTAGAGCTCTGTGTTTTGAAATTGCCATTTGATAGCTACCAAACTGGGCTTTGTATCCTTCTGGCAGATTAGCCCTTTTCTGTCAGACCCTCCCCTTCCCAGCATTTAAGATTACCTGCAAAATGCAGGAGTCAGAAACACTAATAAGCAGTCTAAGATGAGCCCTCCTGTCACAAGGGTGCCCACACCCCGTGACCTGAAGCGCTTCACTGCAGGCCTTAGGAGGCAAAGGGTTCCTGTTTGGTGGTTTCCCTGCAGCTTCAGATTTTAGCCTAACCGTGGCAGGATTTGTCAACTTCCACATTTTTTTGAGAAGCCTGACAGAGGTATAATGTCCAAGGATGATTCTTTCACTAAGTCCTACCAAATAATGGATGGGGGTGGGGGCCGAGGAGGGTAGTAACCCACTAGACGGACCTAGTTCTGTTCTTCGAAAAGTTAGGATTTTAGGTTACCAGTATGGCTAGTCGGGTAATGTTCTATTTTGAGCCCCAGGCATCAGTGTTTTTAGAAGAAAATGAAATGATTCTAAAAATTGCCAACTGAGTGTATAGAAGTGTGAAAGTAGGAAAACCATTGTGAGATGAGCGTTAAAACTCATCTAGAGCAAAGTGGCTGGGGAGGAGGGGTGGGAGGGAGCTTTTTTACCATAAGCTTTTTTTATTTCCTGAATTTCCATCCACATGAATATACTGCCTAGTTAGGAATTAATTTATTGAAAGTATAGATGAAAATAAAATATTAGAAATAAATTGAGTAGAGCCAGGTTGGTCTTGTGCATTTAGGTATTAAAAAGATTTAATTTAAAAGTTGCTAAGGACAAGTTGTTGGTGTATTTTGTTCATTTTTCTTTCTTCTCCAACCTGTTAATTTAGATGATGTTTCTGGAGACCATGGGGACTCTCCCAGTCTTGGTACCCTCAACCCGGCCTATAGTACCTCCTCTCTCCCCCGGTCCACTGAGCACTCACAGGAGCCCTTTACTACCTACTTTGATGAGAAGATCACCATTCCTGAGGAGGAGGTTAGTGACAAATCCTTGGAGGAAAACAGTATTTAGGGAAGACTTAGGAGTGAAAAGTCTGCTGGACAACTTAAGATCAACAGCCTCAGATCGAATTTTGGCAAGCAGTCTCTGAAGACAACTTTTGTAATCAGAAGAACTGTTTACAGTAACTGTTCAGGCAAATGAGGGCCTTGAAAACAGCTGCCACATTGCACTAGTGATTATTTTTTGATCTAGAAAGTATGAATTTCATGTTCTTTTTTTACCATGGCTTTTGTCCCTTTTGGGTAGTGATTGGGCACAAGGGTACTGATACTGTTACTTAGGTTTTAGAATGAGAGGCTGATTGATGGAAAGAGCAGGTAAGGGAAGGGTTCTTATATGGACAGAGAAAGTGGCCAGTTTATTGATAAGAAGTGGGTAAGATGGGAGTGCCTGGGTGGCTCAGTCGTTCAGCGTCTGCCTTTGGCTCAGGTCATGATCCCAGGGTCCTGGGATCAAGCCCCGAGTTGGGCTCCCTGCTCAGCGAGCCTGCTTCTCCCTCTCACTCTGCATCCCCTGCTGTGCTTTCTCTCTGACAAATAAATAAAATCTTTAAAAAAAAAAAGTGGGTAAGATGGACGTTGAACTTGGACACACCCAGTATCCAACATCCTAAATCCTTTGTTCTTGTGAAGCTGATATTGTTGCTTTATATGTGATAAAATAACAGATTAATAAGATCAGTAGTTTGGAGGTGATAATTAGTTTGATCTCTTCCTCTCTTGTATAGTATTCTTGTTTTAGCTTTCGTAAACTCTGGGCTTTCACGGGACCCGGTTTTCTTATGAGCATTGCCTACTTGGATCCAGGAAACATCGAATCTGATTTGCAGTCTGGAGCAGTGGCTGGATTTAAGGTGAACATCTAGTCCTACCCCTGTCCCTTTTAAAAACACACAGTACACCCTCACATCCTTTCCCCCTACTCTGCCTGTTGGATATCATCAGCCTTGGAGGTTATATGCAGACACTTCATTGGCAGTGACACTTAGGTGAAAAGTACTTTGCCATCTGGTTTTTAAAATTTATTTTATACACACAGTTCGCTTTAACATTTATTTTATCCACTCCACATAGTTTTCCCCGAACAAGGGAGAAACTAAGGCTCAGAAAGATCTGAGGTGACCTAATAGGTTATATGTACAAACTGAAACAGAACTCAGGTTATTTGATTCCTGACCTGGACTCGTTCCTGAATGTAGTATTTCTCATTCACATTACCAAACAACCAAACGAAAACACTCCAGTTGTGTAGTAAGTGTTATGTTGGGATTTTGTTCTTCTCTAGTTGCTCTGGGTTCTTCTGTTGGCCACCGTGGTGGGGCTTCTGCTCCAGCGCCTTGCAGCCAGACTGGGAGTGGTCACGGGGTTGCATCTTGCTGAAGTGTGTCACCGTCAGTATCCCAAGGTGAGCCGGGTAGTGTCCTGTTTGTCACTCATCTCAGAAGAACCTGTGTGTTTGGTGGAACGTGCTGGCCTCATGGTATACTGAAATAGTGGAGGACTTGGTGGTCAGTGCCCTGCGGATGAGTTCCAGGGGAAATGTTGTAGCCCCTCTTGCTGCCAACCCATATTTCTGTACTCCTTCAGAATTTAACTTGAAATTCACTTTTTGCCAGAAAGCTTCCTTAGAAAAATTCAGTTTGAGTAAATATTTACCATTCATTCTGCCTTCTGACATCTAGCAGTGCCCAGCCCATGGAGGGGTGGGAGTGCTCTGAGCACTTTCATTCATACATCCATATTCCTATTATACATACTTTCTTTTTTGTTTAACTTTGTCATCAATTTGAAAAATAAGGTTTTCTCTTTTACTACAAACTCTCTGTGGCAGGATCTTTGGATTTGTTAATAATTATTTTTCAATTTACCCTGACCCTGGAGGTTACACTGTCTTCCACAACTTTTTTCTGGACATTTTGGGCCTTTCCTGCTATCTAAGGCAGGAATGGACTGGAAAGTAGTTTTAACCTAGGTTCACCTTTAGATAAGATAATGATCTGCCTCTGGTTTGTCCTAAATGTTTAATCTCCTTTCCTGGCTGTGAAAAACTATGCTTATCTGCTTTTTTCCCCCTTATATGCTTCTTAAAAAAAACCTTAGTAATTTATAATTTCTTGTAGTTTCTCTTCATGTATCTTAACAGTTGTTTTTTGTAATAATTTTTTTGGGTAGTAGATACCTGAAGGTATTTTTTTTTCCCTTGGCTTCTGTGAGCCAGTATTAACTAAACTTGTCTTTCACCTGGATTCTTTGAGCAGATTAGGTTCCTGTTTTATTATATGCCACTCAATTTCAACCAGTTTGCCCTGAGTCCCTTTACATATTTGTCCTTTTTCACTTGCTTATATATTGTCGTTACATTAGAGTTGACTCCAGCCTCTTCATTTTTGTTTTGTCTCTTCAGCCACGGTCAGGATATTTTCTTCTGTGGTCATTTTCTGTTCTCTCCTGAACAATATTTTGACCATATTAGCATCCTCATTTTCCCCTAAAACTTTTGGATTGTTTTTAGATAGGAAATTAAGTGGAAATTAATGCTTGGAAATTCCGTTCCTCTATTGAGTGGAAAGTAAGAGAAAAAAATTAGGATCAGCTGCTGTCCTGACCTTGGCTCATAGGCACCACCACACAGAAGCACCCTTGCTTTCTCCAGCTGGGGGCCACAGTACAATGGTGGGCCAGGTGGAGCCCAGTTCTGGTTCTTCATCTCTAGACCAAAGCCTTATGGAGGACTGTTGATGGGTCAGTGCCAAATGTGAATTCCAAACTGTAGGGAAAGTTCTTAGAAATGATTAATTAGAACCATGTCTTTCTGCTGTTTGGTATTTAGGTCCCACGAATTATCCTATGGCTGATGGTGGAGTTGGCTATCATTGGCTCAGATATGCAAGAAGTTATTGGCTCAGCCATTGCGATCAATCTCCTGTCTGTAGGAAGGTGAGGGGGTTTTCCTCCAGAAAGTAATATTTTGCTAGATTTCAAAGCAAATGTAAAAACAAAAACCAAACTAATTTTCAGTTTTCAAGATTCAATTTAAGTATTTTTTCTGTGGAACCTTTCTGGAGCCACCTTCTCTCCTAGCAGCTGTAGGCTCTGTATGTTCTATGTTCTCATGTCGGGTTATTCATCCCTCTATTATACAGTGTGTGACATTGTGTGTTACAATTATTTATTTGTATATCAGTTTGTCCCACTAGACAGTGAGCTCCTTGAGGGATAAGACCCATACTTTTCAGCTTTGTATCCTAAATGTTTGACTTAGTAGACAGTCAGTGTTTGAATGAATGTAATTCATTCAGTTGGTGCTGTGATCCTAAACTACCCAAGGCCTGACTTACTGTCACTGTCCCCTCCCCGTGAGTCCTTGCTTTTCCAAGTGTTGTCTGGAGAGCTGTTGGAAAGAAAGTGTTTTTCAACGTTTCCTTTCTTCCTGTTAATCTCCATTTCTTATCTCTGACCTAGGGTTCCTCTCTGGGGTGGAGTTCTCATCACCATTGCAGATACCTTCGTATTTCTCTTTTTGGACAAATATGGTAAGGAGAGTGGGAATGGAGGGGTCAGTCAAAGGAGCTACTTTACATCATGAGGCTAATGGAGAAGTCTGTCTTCTATGAGCTCACTGTTGCATTTTCCCCTTTAGGCTTACGGAAGCTAGAAGCATTTTTTGGCTTTCTCATCACCATTATGGCCCTCACATTTGGATATGAGGCAAGTGTTGCAGGCTATTCATTACTTTTTATAACCAAAAAAAGATTTTTTTTGCCTTTTCTTTTAAGACCGTATAATGCTAAGATGGTTTAATTGTATCACGTGTTAACAAAAAGCCAAGTTAGCCTAGGCCAATTTTGAAGAAATATGATCTATAGAGACTAGTCTCTGGGAAGGCCTGCTGGGTCTCCTAGGTCAAAAATAACAGATTTTTTAGGACTTTGTAAACTAGCCTCCTTGGTTCCAAGTTGGCTAGCCCCACAAGGAGCAGCCTTGGAGAGGGCTCGGGAGGGAGCTGCAGGGTTATTCCTGGCTGTTAACTTGGAGAGGTTCTAGTTTTGCTTATCCTGGCTTATACCAACTGCAGCTTGAATTTTCTCTGTATTGTGACAGTTAATGAACTATAAAGGATATAGTGGATGTTTCCTGGTTTGTGCCCCAACCCAGATACTCCTAGGAATCAGTACCATTATATGCAGTAATAGTAGCTTTCTATGTCCCGTTGTTATAAACTCATTTTTGCTCATTGGCCTGGCTAAACTTTTTTTTTTAAGATTTTATTTATTTGACAGAGAGATAGCGAGAGCAGGAACACAAGCAGGGGGAGTGGGAGAGGGAGAAGCATGCTTCCCGCTGAGCAGGGAGCCTGATGTGGGGCTTGATCCCAGGACCCTGGGATCATGACCTGAGCTAAAGGCAGACGCTTAACAACTGAGCCACCCAGGCGCCCTGGCCTGGCTAACCTTTTATTTTTTTATTTTTTTATTTTTTTAACTTCAACTTCTTTTTATTAACTTTTTAGTCACTCATACAATAATTTGTATCTATGAAAGAATTCAAATTTATTGAATGAAAGGCACTGCTTACGATTTACAAAACAAGTAAGTTGAAGAGGAAGCTTTCAGTGAATTAAATAATACAGGGTTTTTTGGATCCGTAATTGATAAACACATAATTAAAAAAATAAACAGCTTGTATTAGGTCACCACACAGATTTATACAACAATCAGATGTGTAAAAACATAAGTAAGGTTTTATGGGACCCCAACACAGGTATCTTTTCCTAAATCCTAAGAGAACCAAACAGTTTTAGAAGCTAAAGCTATTATGTTTACAGATGTGCAAAACACTAAGCAAAAATCCTTTATTTTTAAGAAAAAAGTACGTTTCCTCATTTTCTATTCTTGGCATAAATGTTAATTCTTCCCCGTGGAACCAAAACCTCCTGAACCCCTTTCAGTGTCATCTAAAACCTGAACTTCCTCTATTTCTGGATAAAAAATCCGTTCACAAATGAGCTGTGCAATCCGATCGCCCTTTTTGACTTGAAACTTTTCTTTGCCAAAATTAAATAGTACGACACCCACATTTCCTCTGTAATCTTCATCTATGACGCCAGCTCCTACATCGATGAAGTGTTTTGCAGCCAAGCCAGAATGGGGAGCTACTCTTCCATAGCACCCAGACGGAAGAGCTACCTGAATGTCCGTTTTCACAAGGGCTTTCTCCATAGGTGGTAGTGTATAATCATAGGCACTGTACAGGTCATAGCCTGCAGCCCGTGCGGACCCCTTGGTCGGGGCGGTGGCGTGCTCTGAGAGCCGGACAAAGCGGAGCCGCTTGCTGGGGGAGATGGCAGGTGTTGCTTCAGAGCAGGGCATGGCAGAACAGAACGCAAGAAAAGACAGCAGCAGAGAAAACAAACGCCTGGCTAACCTTTTAAAAGTACATGTAATCTGGGGCGCCTGGCTGGCTCAGTTGGTTAAGTGTCTGACTCTTGATTTCGGCTCAGGTCATGATCTCAGGTATCTGATTCTCTCTCTTCCTCTGCCCCTCCTCCCGCTCACACTCTCTGTCTCTCCATTTATAAAAGAAATAAAATCTTAAAAAAAAAAAAGCACATCTAATCTGTAAGTAGATTATACAATAGATTAGTCTAAGGCATCCAAGAGAAATGCTGAACCAGGAAAAAGTATGTGTGAGAAGTATTTATGAATGAGTCTCAGCATACATTAGTGGCAAACGTAAGTGATTTTTAGATAAACATAGGTGAATAGAGGCATAAGTATGGATAATCAAGAATTGACTATATTCTTGGGTCTGTCTCATAGGAGTTGTTGTGAAGCTAATGTCAATGAGGCCCTTAGCAGCCGTCTAATTCTTTAGAATGTAAATGACATTCTCCACACATCTACTTTGTATATCTAAAATATGATGTGAAATATTTGAATATCACAGTCCTGAATTCTCAGACCTGGAAGCAAGTCCCTCATACTTCTTGGTTTTCTGATGGTTCTGTATTCCTCATTATTCTAGGTGGTTGTTGAAAAGAGTATTGTAAGGAGCAGTGGATGCTGAGTGTTTCCTAGTACTGTGTTACACCCCTGGTCTCACGTTCTAATAGTTGTTATGTTGGTATGTAGTATATTACAGTGAAACCCAGCCAGAGCCAGGTACTCAAGGGCATGTTCCTGCCATCCTGTTCAGGCTGTCACACCCCACAGGTCGAGCAGGCTGTGGGCATCGTGGGAGCTGTCATCATGCCACACAATATGTACTTGCATTCTGCCTTAGTCAAGGTGAGCATGGCCCTTATATCTGTGTCATCCAGATAGTTCATGTTTCCTTTAGTTGCAGGGGACACTAGTTTAAAAGCATTAGAGCCCTAAAGGAGTGAAAGGTTTTTCCACGGTTGGATGTTTATAAATTTTACACACTCAGACTCTGTTTTTGTCACAAAGGTGGCCAGAAATAAGTGACCCCACAGAGAAACTGGGACTAAAACTCTTCATAATAGGTCCAAAAGTACACCAAATCTCTTGTGTTTAAATCCCAAAAGACTGAGTGACCTTGAAGAGATAAGGAGTAAAGAGCCCAACCAAGGTTTTATCAGTCAGTCTTATACAGTAGTTTCCTGGAAGATTTCAGAGACCTTTATAATTAAGGTTGTTAGGACTGAAAATCAGGTTGTTTTTGTATGTCAGTGGTTCTTCTAGCCACAGTAACTGAGAGCTCAGTAGTACAGTCATCATTTCCTGTTTGGGGAACGTGCAGTGTTGTCAGAGGGTCATGAAGTCCTTACTCACTTAATGAACTGGGATGTAAGTAAGTTTTCTCATATTTCTTATGGTCAGTTGTTTGCCGAAATGTTACTAGGAATCTTGTTCTAAATAATCAAAAAATGACTACTGGTGTTTATCTCTCTAGTCCAGACAGGTAAACCGAGCCAATAAGCAGGAAGTTCGAGAAGCTAATAAGTACTTTTTCATTGAATCCTGCATTGCACTCTTTGTTTCCTTCATCATCAACGTCTTTGTCGTCTCAGTCTTTGCCGAAGCATTTTTTGAGAAAACCAACGACCAGGTGGTGAGTAAGCCAGGGTCATGAGTGGTAGTGAATGTGAGGGTAGTGAAGGCTGGAATAGGGTAGGCAAAATAACAGTGACTTGGAGCTCAAGGAAAACAGATCTCCAGCCTTAGGACTGCCCCCTCATCACTGCACTAGTCAGAGTCTAGAGTCTGCGGGCAGACCAAGCCTAGACCCATGTTTCCCAGCTATTGGCTCAGAAGGGAGTTTGCCTCAGAATAGCAAAGATTGCCTTACGCTGTTGTGTTTGTGGCTTCATGTCTCTTGGGCTCTTTGTCATCCCTTTTTGTTTCCTGTTTATCAACCGCCAGCCTGCTTGCCAGTCCTGCCATTTGGAGGTGAGGACGGATAGGGAGAAGTCAACAAACAGAAAGCAGAAACTGGCTGAGATACACTCTTTTGCATTTTGAATTCACTATCATCTTGATTCCTGATTGCCTATCTATAGGACCTCTGACACCTGGCTCTGCTTTGACTAAGGAGTCCTCTCATATTTCTTAAGGGCCCTCTCCTCCTCCCATCACTTAAAGCCAGCCAGCATTCACATATTACCAGGCACACTCTTAACTCAGTAAATGTTTTTGATGGCATGAGGGTATAGAAGGATTATGGAAGAAGACCACAACTGCCTTTGCTGCCAGTCCCTGCTCGTGTTACACCCTGTATCCAGTGTCTTACCTCCAGCCTGTGTCTCCTAGATAACTTGAATGTGACCCATAGTTTGTGATCTGCAGGAGAACTCCTCTGGTCTGGTCCTTGCCTCAAAAATAAAAGTTGCCCCTAAACTGCTTTGCGTTCCAGATTGCAGTCTGTAGAAATAACAGCAGTCCCCACACTCACCTTTTTCCTGATGATAACTCGACACTGACTGTGGACATCTACAAAGGGGTAAGCCTTTTCAGATTTGTGATCACTGCTCCTGAATCAGTATTCTTGGCACAGTGTCTGATCTTTCCTGTGGGTTCGCTTTGGAGCTGAACCTATCTTCTCTGGAGTGTCATTTATTTCAGAGGTCTAGATGCCACACAAGCATTTCTGGATTACATGGGAGGGAATAGAGGATCAGCTGAAAATGAACTGTATCAGCAATTCCCAGAGTTATGTTGATATTATATTGTTTTATAGGATGTGAATTGGGGGAGACTAAAGAAAGTACTCCTAGTAAAGTATTCTTTATTGGGACCTCTCAGTCCTTTTTATGCTGGTTACATTATGAATCTCCCAAGAGTAGAATACATAATTTATGTAGTATTTCCCAAATGTATTTGACCTTTCTCTTCACTCTTGTTACTATCTTCCAGAATAGTGTGTTAAGTAATATAATTTGGGAAATGTTGTGTAGGCTTTCTTCTTTTTTTTTTTTTTAAACATATTTAAGATATAAGTTGAGGATGAAGGCTTTAGGAACTTGGAGAAAAGACTGAGCAGAGGAATGAAGGAATATCCAGCAAAATTTATGTTGAAGGCCTCTAAAATGAGGTCAGGTCCTGAGTCTAGCTTCTGGGGAGTAGCGCCCAGCACAGTACGTGGTGTAGGTTGGTACATAGCAAAAGAAGAGGGAGAAATGCTGCAGAGAAATTCTGTTTTGGTCATTGTCTAAGCAGATCATTGACACAAACATCTTTCTCCCCTGCCTCTCCCAGGGTGTTGTACTAGGATGTTACTTTGGGCCAGCTGCACTCTATATCTGGGCAGTGGGGATCCTGGCTGCAGGACAGAGCTCCACCATGACAGGAACTTACTCTGGCCAGTTTGTCATGGAGGTATGTGCTGTTTTGACTGGTATAGATTAGAGGAAGAAAATATCGATTGCCCTTTTGTTACTTCTTAATCCCATGTTTCTAGGATCTTCCCGAACCTCCCCAAACCTTTCTCTGTTTCCTGTTCTAGGCATTCATCCTGCTTCTGTGTTTTCTTCCAGGGATTCCTGAACCTAAAATGGTCACGCTTTGCCCGAGTGATTCTCACCCGCTCTATTGCCATCATCCCTACTCTGCTTGTTGCTATCTTCCAGGATGTAGAGCATCTAACGGGGATGAATGACTTCCTGAATGTTCTGCAGAGCTTACAGGTGAGGAGGGAGCTGGGGAAACTCCCATCCCATTTAATCAGGCAGCATTATATATTGCCCGTAGGTACCAAGCCTGTAGTGCTGGGTGCTGGGGAAAATTCAGAGGAAGAAAGAGGCACAGTCTCAGTCTGCAGTAAATGTATGGAATCCCTGGTATCTAAAAAACTTTTAGAAATGGTTTGGTTTATAAAAGCATGTTGAGGGGCGCTTGGGTGGCTCAGTCGGTTAAGCATCTGCCTTCAGCTCAGGTCATGATCCCAGGGTCCTGGGATGGAGCCCTGTGTTCAGCCCCGCATCAGGCTCCCTGCTTAGCGGGGAGCCTGCTTCTCCCTCTGCCTCTGCCTGCAGCTCCCCTGCTTGTGCTCTCTCTCTCTCTCTCTCTCTCTGTCCAATAAATAAATGACATCTTTTTAAAAAGGGGCGCCTGGGTGGCTCAGTTGGTTAAGCATCTGGCTCAGCTCGGGTCGTGATCCCAGGGTCCTGGGATTGAGCCCCGCTTCGGGCTCCTTGCTCAGTGGGGAGTCTCCTCCCTCTGCCTGCCGCTCCCCCTGCTTGTGCTCTTTCTCTCTCTCAAATAAATAAAAATCTTAAAAAAAAAAAAAAAAAAAAAGCCTAGGGCACCTGGGTGGCTCAGTTGTTAAGCATCTGCCTTTGGCTCAGGTCATGATTGCAGGGTCCTGGGATTGAGCCCCGCATCGGGCTCTCTGTTCAGTGGGAAGCCTGCTTCTCCCTCTCCCACTCCCCCTGCTTGTGTTCCCTCTCTCTCTATCAGATAAATAAAATCTTAAAATAAAATAAAAGCCTGTTGAATGGGAATTATCTGCTATAATTACATATAGAGTATAAAATTACTGTTTTTAATCCAAGCAAACATTAAATAACACAGGACACTGCTAGGTCCTATTGAGGTTAAAAAGGCAAGGCAGATACGAATGTTTATAAAGACACAGGATCAGAATCAATGCTAAATTAATGACGGCTCTACAGGTTTCAACATAAGGCATGAGCATCTTGGGATGATAGGAATAATTTCTCATGGGGTAGATGAGGTGGGATGTGTGTTTCCCTTGTGCTAACAGTGCTGCTCTTGGGGGTAATACAAGGATCTCCAGTAGCTCTATCTGATCTTCTTTCTCTCTTTTCCAGCTTCCCTTTGCTCTGATACCCATCCTCACGTTTACGAGCTTGCGGCCAGTTATGAATGACTTTGCCAATGGAATGTGAGTGTACTGCTCTCAGTTCCCCAAAAATACGTGGGGGAAGCATGTCTTCATTGAATAGGCCAGTCAGGAAATGAGTCATGGAGGGGAACCACATGTTTTGAGAGGTGAATGCTGGAGCTGCCCCCCTCAGTCTTTGGCTCAGAGAACAAAGACTGTGAACGTGGTAAAAAAGGCAAGCACGTTTTTCATTTCTAGCAGGAGAAAGTTCCGCTCTTAGGGCTTTGTTAATTCTTCAGCTTTAGTCACTGAAGTGTAAAGCACCTTAATTCCATGTTAAATGATCTTAATGAGAAAACCATAAACAAATACCTTTTATATACATCTTGAAAGGGTATGGGGTTTTTGAAATTGTTGCATCTCTAGGTACTCAGGACTTGTTGCATTTCTAGGGACTTAAATATTAAGGATTATTTGAGAGTATTTTCCCCCCTCTTTCTCCCTATTGGTGGTCTTACTTGGGACATAGTAACAATTTTCAGTTCATTTTGAGATGCCTCTTACTCCTGTCCTGTCTACCCTACCGGACAGTGTCCTTTTCTGCTTGTGAATGGGTTGGACTGTTCCACCAGTGACTGATGCTTCTTTTACAGAGGCTGGAGGATTGCAGGCGGGATATTGGTCCTTATCGTCTGTTCCATCAACATGTACTTTGTCCTGGTTTATGTCCAGGAACTCGGGCATGTGGCATTGTATGTGGTAGCTGCTGTGGTCAGTGTGGCTTATCTGAGCTTTGTGTTTTACCTGGTAAGTCCATTCAGGAGGGGCAGAGGTGTAGGTGTCAGAGATGGTAGAGATGGGGCTTATTAACACCAAAATGAAAGGACCCAAAAGAGCACGTAGCAGTCTTTTTTTTAAGCACATAGCAGTCCTATCTCCAGGTTAATGAGACAGTTTACATGAAATTAAGTCAACTGTGGTTAAACGGTATTTTTAACTGTAAGATTTATTTTGATTCTTAAGAGCTGTCATGTCACTTCTGTCTGGTTTCCATTCTTAATAATTCCTGATAAGAGGGGCACCTGGGTGGCTCAGTCAGTTAGGCATCTGCCTTTGGCTCAGGTCAAGATCTCAGGGTTCTGGGATTAAGCCTCATTTCAGGCTCCCTGCTCAGTGGGGAGTCTGTTTCTCCCTCTCCCTCTGCCCACTCATGCTTGTGCTCGCTCGCTCTCAAATAAATAAATAAATAACTTAAAAAAAAAATTCCTGATAAGAGAGTGTAGTGTGTTTGAGGAATTAAAAGAACAGTATAGAAAGGGAGTGGCATAAGATTTTAATAGCTGTTTACTAAAGAAAGAATAGTGATATTCTCTCATTGAATTACTCTAGAGTTATTTAAAAATGATGGTTATAAAATCATAGCTACACAGAAAATGAATGCAGAATAATGTATTCCAAGATAATAAATATTTTTTTTCAAAAATTGGGTAAATTATGTAAAAAATGGTGATAGTAGCTGTGTTAGGATGTTTCCTTGATGGATATATTCTTTTCTCTATTTTCCAAGTCTTCTGTAACATTACTTATAGTAATGGAAAATAGTTCTAGCAACAAAAACAACAAATGCTCCTCCCTGTTCTGTACAGATTTCTCTGAAAAATGCATGTGTGGTGTTAGGGACAGCAGAATTTATACCATACATGCTGCAGAGAATGGTTAAGGATGGAGCCTGGAGACCTGCTGATCTTTTTAGCTCTTACCTAGTCCCCATGCCAGTATCTGTCACAGGTTAAGTACTAGATTGAGAAAATCACTTTAGTGACTGTTGAAAAATTATGTCCTGGATTTATTTATTTTTTCTTCTCTCTTCCCCAGTATACCTTGAGCACACTAGGATTATGCTGAATCTATATTCTAAGGATTTACCCCAAGGAAACCCAAGTAACTGAACATGTCCTTGATAGGAATTATTTTAAAAATTCACTATAGAAGATAAGGGAATCCTTCCTTCCTACAAATTAGCTATGAAGAGACTGAGTGTCCTCAGTCACCCTGAGACCGTCAAGGTTGTTGAAGCCCCATTTTTAGGCTGAGGACTGATTCCGGGTCGGTTACTGCTGTTAAACCCCAAAACACGTACTTCATAGAGTAGTTTGGGATACTATCCCAGTTGTATTGGTCTGTCGGTCATTACCTCCACCTCTGCCTGCGTCATGAGGAATGGGGTAGGACTGAAGAAAAAGGGTCTTCAGGGAACTCCCAGTTGGCAAAAGAAACAAACGACAAGCACAAAGCAGTAGGAACTGGCAACTTGATATTGAAAATAGTATGAAGAAACTTTGTTGAGGAAGGCAGATTCCAGGATGTCTTGAAGGGGGGTAAGGGGTTGGAAGAATGACTTGTGCAACCTGGGTGGTAGGAGATGAGCAGAGCTAGATACATATTCAAGGAAGAGAGCAGGGGGGCACCTGGGTGGCTCAGTCAGTTGAGTGTCTGCCTTCGGTTCAGGTCATGATCCCAGGGTCCTGGGATCAAGTCCTGCATCAGGCTCCTTGCTCAGTAGGGAGCCTGCTTCTCCCTCTGCCTGCCTATCGCCCTGTTCGTGCTCTCTCTCTCTCTCCCTCCCTCTATCTCTCTCTGACAAAGAAATAAATAAATCTTAAAAAAAAAAAAAAAGGAAGAGAGCAGGTTTGCATCTGAGCAGTACAGTGTGAGCCGTCATGATGGGAAGAGGGGTCTGCAGAGAGGTTGGTGAATGATAACCATACTTTATCTTTCAGGGTTGGCAATGTTTGATTGCATTGGGCATGTCCTTCCTGGACTGTGCGCACACGGTAAGCATCTCTAAAGTCCTGCTGACCGGAGAAGCCACTGGTGGCTATACTAAGTAAACACTGGATCAGTCTGTCTTCCACAAGTATAGCCATCAGAGCCAGTGTGTTTCTGTGGTTTACTGTGTGAACATAGCCAAAAGTATGTGCTGTTGCACAGACTGCATTTAAGACTCAACTCTTTGTTGGGAAAGACTTTGTTTCAATATATGTTTGAAAGATGGAATTTTTTTTTTCTTCCTGACCTCCTAACCTGGGAAATAGATTAGACAGGATCTTTGAAAAGCTGACATTTGCTGCTATCATTCCAACACAAACTCTTAAGTAGCTGCCCAGGGGCCAGCTTGTTTTATCCTTTTGAGAGATAATCCTATGTGCATGCTTCTTAACCAGGCTATGTGTTAAAAAAAAAAACATATTTGAGAAATGTAATAAAGTTTTCATAAGATAAATTACAGGATGGGTATGCAGGTTTTGTTTATAAAAAGATAAAAGGCTGAGAAATACTTTTTTTCTTATGCATACCCTGTCAGTTATTTTGATTATAAAAAGATAAAATCTCAATGAAACTGGTTTCATCCATATTGAATATAAAATTATGAAGCATCTCCCTCTTTCAGGTTCAGGATTGTTTTAACTTATTTCCGCTTTAAATTTCTTGGTGGAAGTTAAGAGGGATGAGAAAGGATAAAGCTGGTGCTAAACACACAAATAGCAAAGCTGACATGTAGCTGGTGGTTATTAATCACCTTAGAAAATCACTGAGCAGATTTTCCTCAGAGATCGAAAGCTTATCAGGATTTTCTTTTAAGTCCTGATTTTCTTAACTTTCATGTTAGTACAGAGCTTTCCCGATGATATTTATTCTTGAGCACATAGAGTTGTAAAACCTTCACCTTCCTCATTCAGGAGGTTGGTTATAGAAAAAGATGGTAGCCTTTATGAACTGACATGAGATTTTGGAATGAGAAGAGACTTTAAAGGAAAGAAGAGCCATCTATTTTATTCCTAAAAGACACCTCCTACCAGAATTGTCATGGTTTTCCGAAGCATGCCCAAGACAACTTGCAAGGCAATCTCAGGAGCTGTGGACCTAACTGTTGCAAAGCTCTTTCTCTCTCTCAGCAAGTCAGTAGGAATCACTGTGATTGAAAAGTTCTCTCTCAGCAAGGTTGCACTGGGCTACCTCTCTTCAGCCATTCCCTCAGAGGGAAAAACTTTGAGACCAGATGGTGGAGCTCTGGAGTCAGAGGACGTGGGTCCCTTCAGCATGAAGCTGCAGCTCTTCAGCCACTGCTGACATTTTTACATGTGGAGCCTGAGATTATGTGATTATATCCAATCAATTCACATTTGTCTGGTGGAGATAAATAATCAAGTCTGTTACAGCCATGGACTTGATGAGAATAGTAATGGGAATGGCATTGAAGGACTTCTCATTTTTGGGACTTTCCTTCTAGAGTCCGGGTTGATTGATATTCTCTATTCATCTGAGCCCCTAAATGCATTATTGCTGATATTTTGCACACAGTCAAGAGTACAGATTGGATGGATTGTCTTTCAAAAGGCATTAAGGATAAACTGCTGTGTATCACTGACCATACCTTATCTTAGCCCCTTGAGTAATATAGCACAGGATCATGAAAGATAAATTTCCCTCACTGTTCGTCCTCACATCTGCCCCTCTCCATGTCATTATTCCCCAAACTGGTCATAAGGGCACTCTGTGAAGATACTAGGGACTGACATCTTAATCTCTCATCTGGTTGGACTAGGTGAAGGCAAAATTGACAAGAAAAATTTTTTGTAAAGACAGTACAATAATACTTACAACCTTTGCCCTGAGTCTGGGTAGGTCCAGTCAGTCTCAGATTCACAGTATTTAGAAGTTCAGGTAAAGCTGCTTGTTTTCTTTTGAAAGTTTTGCTTATGACTTAATATGATGGAAAATTTCCTGCCAGTTAAGTGGCATTTTATATGTGTGGTGTTTGACGGTGTTAAAAATACTCCTATACTGTATTCCATTTGATCCTGTCAGAATGAAAGTATACTTCAACCAGTACTCTGGGTGCAATAAACACTGCTGTGAAGTCTCCCAGTGCCAGCATGTGGTGTTTGTGCCGAATGTTAAAAGTATACAGTTGTACTTTATGTAAAGTGGTCCTTGTTCTCCATAAATGTGACATGAAGTAATTGTGCTGTTACAGCACACCAGGAGTTAATGGATGGGGAAGAGCTGTAGTTTGGCTCCTGTGAGGTCCTACTAGTGTTATTACAAGTGGTTACAACTGAGCTGTTCGTGCCCATTTAACAGTATGTAAACTGGTTTGTAATTAAAAATTTTTCCTTTCCCTGTTTGGTTTCCTGGGTATTTTTTTTAACCTTGAAAATACTTCCGGGGATGCCTGGGTGGCTCAGTCAGTTAAGAGTCTGCCTTCGGCTCAGGTCATGATCCAAGGGTCCTGAGACCAAGCCCAGCATCAGGCTCCTTGCTCAGCAGGGAGCCCGCCGCTCCTCATACTTGCACTTGCGCGCACTCTGACAAATAAATAATAAAAATAAAATCTTAAAAAGAAAAAAAAATATTTCCAAAATACTGCAGCATCAGCCAGCACCTAGATGACATTTTAAGCCCATATTGTTAGTGATTCTTTTAAAGGGATGGAGGTGTAAATAGGTTTAGTCCCTGGAAGACTTGGTGAACTGCAGACCCCAAACACTAATACCAGTTTACCCACTTAGTCAAATAGTTTTGCTGTTGCTAAAGGTCACATCATTGCCATATTTAAACTAAAAAAAAATTGTTATTCTGCCTTTTTTTGCTCTAAGCTGAACATTTTTCTATCTGTAGTCTTGTTTCACCATTGAAGTATGCTTTTATATTCCGTATGTGCTGCCAATAAAAAAAAGTATGAGTATTTGAAAAGAAAAACCAAAATTGCTTAGCTTAAAAATTGAAAGCATTTTGGCAGAACTGATATAAATGGAAATATTGTCACCATTTAATAAAACAAAGCTCAGGCATAGTAAACTACAGGCCCTGTCACCATACCAGTGACAGGAAAGTCAGCACTTCATTTATCCCAAGGTTGTCACTAGAACTTCATTTTCCCTTTCTCTGTTGTAAGATTTTCCTGTGTGTCTTACAGGAGCCAAATACTGTAACAGGATAGAAGTAATCTGGGAATTCTGTTCTCAGTGTTATCCTCCCTCATTTAGCTCTCCCTTCTTAATCTGGGTTTAATTTCAGAACTAAGATAAGATGTAACAATTTGAAGATCCTGATTGGAGACATTTCTTTTAGCTTCGCCCTCTGGGATGCTTTCTGCTCCTTTATTGGATAGGACCAGTGAATCTAAACGTATCAGCTTCTCTTGGCACCTTAGTTTATGAATGTTAAAAACGGCTAACGCTGACTACTATGTGCTAGTCCTGGTCTGAGCACTCCTCTGCCCTCGTTTAATTGTTGCAACAAGAGGATCAGCCTCTTTATAGATGAGGCGATTGAAAAGCCAGAAAGTCACTCCCCACATCACATTGCTCGTAGATAGGCGATTGGCGCTTCAACTTGAATAGCTTAACTCCAGAGCCCACATTGTCATTACCGAACCATCCTATATAATACATAGTACACATTTCATGCAAGGTTAAGACGCCAAGCTGGGTGTTTGGCAGGACCAGGAACACATCAAAGCATTTGGGTGATACTCTGATTATAGAGTATGTTTTAGCTCACAAGTTGCCAACTGGTAAACTAATTTTGTTTGGACTGTGCTAAATTTGAAACAACTTTGAATGCTTTTTGGTAAGCATTTGTCTGCCAGATGAACAGGGCAGGGCCCTCTGTGATCCCACCCCAGTGGTAGCTAAGAACTGTTAAGCTTACTCATTTGCACTACCTCTCTGCCCCTGACAGTATTTAGCCTATTCCTCTGTCGTTTCTCAGTGTCTCAGACAAACTTCAACAAGGAGGTTCTGTCTAGTAAGTCATCTGAGTGACTCTGGGGATCACAGGACTAATAATGCAACCCTTGCCTACTGCATAATGAGGAAGCCCACCACCTCAGCGCTTGTGAAAAGGCTGCAGTGAATTTATAGTGTATCTGACAATCGCTCTTGGTTACTAAAACCTGAGACATAAGACCTGAAGTGAATAAGGAGGCTTGTCTGAAGAGTTGTCTCTGCCCCAAGGCTAGTGTTAGTCACTGTACTTAGAATAGTTTTATCTTGGGTTTCATCTGGGGTCATCTTCACATAGCCATCACAAGCCTGTGAGGTATACGGGGCAATTTGTAATATGTTAAAAAGTTACATTTGTTGAAGACTAACATAACAGCACATTAACGTACTCGGCATTTTCAAATGTAGCATTTATTCCCATTTTACAAATAAGTAGGATAAGGCTCCAAAAGGGTACATGAACTTGCTCAAGGTCACAGGAATTGGCAGAGTTAGAGCTTGAAACCAACTCTGGTGCCTTTTCCACTATACTATAATAGGGATATTCTCCTATGGATTTATAGTCTACATTCTGCATTAACTCTTAGGCTATTGATGCCAAGGGGTGATGACATTCCTAAAGCCCTAAGTAATAACAGTAGGGCTAAAATGAGATTCAGTGATTGTCTCACGGTGTATGCAGAGGAGAGAAAAGGGGTAAACAAACTACAACTTCACAGATCCCAACACAAACCACAGGGATTCAGAAAAAAAAGGGGCGGGCACCTGGCTGACTGAGTTAAGCAATCAACTCTTGATCTCATCTCAGGTGTCGATCTCAGAGTCAGGAGTGCAAGCCTGGTGCTGGGCTCTGTTCTGGGTTGTGGATCAAAACAAAATAAACCACAGGGGTTCGGATTTCCAGGAAGGTGATCTGGCAGTGTTTTAAAAGTAGTCCAAGCGATTCCAATTCAGCCTGACAAACATTTGAGACCCATAGGTCATTTCCCTCCCTCAGCACTTTTCTCTGCTCAGGTGCCAAAAGATCATGAGACCTGGATAATATGGCTCAGGATTTAGACTGAGCTCAGGATTTAGAATTAATATTTAATTCTAATAATTTAGAATTAGTATTCTAATATTTAATTATTTAGAATTTATTTGATTTCTAAAACAGTACTAGAATACAAAAGCACTCTGTGTTGGCTCTCAATGTCCTTATCAGAAGTAGCTATCCTGGGGTGTCTGGTTGGCTCAGTCAGTTAAGTGGCTCAGGTCATGATCCTGGGGTCCTGGAATCCAGCCCGAGTCGGAGTTGGAGTCCCAGTTTCCTGCTCAGCGGGGAGCCTGCTTCTCCCTCTTCCTCTGCCCCTCCCCTTGCTTGTGCTCTCTCTTTCTGTCAAATAAATAAAATCTTAAAAAAAAAATTGCAGCCAAGTGTATCCCAAGAATAGCCAAGTGCAAATTTTGCTGAGGGCATTTGGCACTATCGCAATTCTTAACTATTTCAGCTCCCAGTTATTATTTTATGTGCCATAAACCATTCACGTATCTGTAAGCTATTTCTTTTCTGAAATAAAAATCAATATAGCTGTACTGAATAAAGGCCTCTATTGAAGTGCTGATTATAGGTCCTCACATGCCAGTTACAATATTTAAATACTTGCAAATCATGGGGCGCGTGGGTGGCTCAGTCGGCTGAGTGTCTGCCTTCTGCTCGGTTTGTGATCCCAGGGTCCTGGGATCAAGTCCCACATCAGGCTCCCTGCTCAGAGGGAAGCCTGCTTCTCCCTCTGCCTGCCACTTTCCCTGCTTATGCTCTTTCTCTCTGTCAAATAAATAAAATCTTTTAATAATAAATACATTAATAAATAGATAAATACTTGCAAATCAGTCTAACCCTTTTCCATTTTTTTTGTCCTTAGTACCATCTGGGATTGACAGCTCAGCCTGAACTCTACCTTCTGAACACCGTGGATGCTGACTCACTTGTGTCTAGATGACTGACAGCCTGAGAGACTGTATAAGAACCACTTTGTCTTAATCCCTTTGTGCCAGGTGTCCTGTTAACATATCTCTGTTAGTTCAGAGGTGAGTTTTGTTCAGATTTTGAACAAAAGGCAAAGATTTCCTCGTGGGAAGGCTGTTAAAAGCTGACAGCTGTAATTGTAGGACAGAGACCCACCCACCTCAACAGTCCTACAATAGCCAGAGTTACATGATTGGCCTATCATGGCCACACACCCCTATGGGCTTGTGTCTTGACTTCTGGCATTTATAAAATATATGTGTGTATATATTTATGTAAACCTGAACATATCCGTTTGGGTAGAGTTTTAAGGTTATATAAAATTGATAGGTCTTATTTTTTTTAAAGATAGTATTCAGATAAATCAGATATTTGTTTTATCTGGGTCACAAGTGAGAAAGGAGAGGGAGTAATGCTCTTTTTCAGAATGATCTGGTCAAATTAACTTACCTTTTAAAGTGATACTTGACTATGGCCAGTTAAATTCCACGTCGGTTTTAACCGACCAGACCTGCTTATCAGCCACTTCATATCAGCACATCATTTCTAAGGAAAACATTTCTTCTTTTCAAGCAGTCATATTTGGTCCTGGTCATTGGTGTGCTTTGTAATTACAGTTCTCTCTGTTGCTTTTCTTGAAATCTTGTCAGAGGTATGATGGTATTTTCCAAAGAGCCTAATAACTTGTAATAAGATTCAGAAACGATGCTTTAATCAATGATCAGTCTTCCATGTGACATTGTAACTCAGCCCATTCTAGCATTCAGGTTTTAGGTATAAAAGAAGAAACTTCTAACATTTAATTTTGTAAAGACCCAATAGAAGATGATGGAGGTATTTGTTTTCTTTCTAATGTTTGTAGAGTTCTACCAAATCTTTTCTTCCCATTTTCCCCATGAAAACTCCAAACACCATTTCTAGGTCCAAAATCTATTTCCAGGAATGGCTAATATTTCTAATGTTGAATTTCCCTGAATGCTAAGCATTTTACTTTAAGATATTTATACCAAGTAATATGAGATCAGAACTAGACTAGGACTTAGACGACTAGTTCTCATGTCATAAACTGCCTGCCTACATGTGGGTTATAGACGCTTTTTGACCCCTTTTCTTAACTGGGACTTTTTTCCTTAAGATTTTTATAATAAAAATGTTAATACTTTAAAATGGAAAGATTTTGCATAATTATCTGATGGAAAAGGAGATTTTCAACACGAGGCTCACATTCCTGCATGGAGTTACAGTTGGCTGGAGTGAGTGGTAGCTATCCATCTTCATGGACTATATTGCAGGGCGGCACACACTCCATTTCCTTCTAGCCGCAGAGGCATGCGTTTGTAAACACTGAAGGTTTCGTATGACTTTGAGCATCATTTTTCTCTCTCAGCTTAAAAGGTAAATATGTCTTATTTTAAAATTTAGTGCTTTTCAGTAAGACGTTTGTTGTTGTTGTTAAATCCAGACATTTTCATTTATAAAGACTTGGCCCTCTAAGTGGCAAGTTTTCTAAGAGGATACTTTAAAATTCTCTCATTTCTACGTCGGGGGCCCTTGAAACGTCTGGTAAGAGTAGCATCCTTACAATGTAGTTTAGCATCCTTCTGATCTTAAAAATGAAACTGAATTAGCATCAATTAACAGCTTTCACTTGAAAAAGAGATTTTTAAAATGAGTTTCAGTATTTTAGATTCTTTATACACAGTTAGCAACTCTAGATGGACCAATTTGGATTTTCCTCCCTTCTTGGGCAATTAAGTTTCTCAGTTTCATTACTAGAGAGTGTTAGGAGAAAGAAAGAAAAAAAAGGTTAAAAAATCCTGTTTTGCCACTCCTAAAAAGTTGAGGTGCTTGGTTAAACAGAGACTAAGTACTTGGGGGATTCTTTAACTCATCTCCCTCCTTTAGCTATATGTTACTAGGAAGAGACTGGAGTTTACAAAAGTTTATAAGTATATCTGTCAGGTCATATAATTCCTGTAATCAAAAAATTTGATCACCTGAGTCATGCTAAAACCAGGAGAGGAGAGTGATTTCTAAAGAGTGAGTCTTGGGTACACTTCTTTTCTAAGTTAAGAACATTTAATCATTCTCTAATTTATGTACAAATCTAGATTTCTTTTCCTTTTTTTTTTTTTTTTGGTTTTATTTATTTGACAGAGAGAGAGAGCACAAGCAGGGGGAGTGGGAGAGAGAGAAGCAGACCCCCCGCTGAGCAGCGAGCCCGATGCGGGACTCGATCCCAGGACCCTGGGATCATGAGCTGAAGGCAGACACCTAACCGACTGAGCCACCCAGGTGCCCCCTTAAGTCTGTTTTTAGTGCAGAGTATATATTAAGAGAGTAGAATCTTCCCAGTAGCCTGATGAGAAATACCTTTTCATTGTGAAATCAACTTGAAGGGTGACATTTCTATGCCAGCTGTTCTCAGTTTCACTGACCTCCATGGAGCATATTCGATCCAGCTGCTGGACTATTTAGTGGAATAAAGCAGTTGGATTCTTTGGGTACGATTCTTTCTTTGCCTATTTTCCAAAGAGGACAGTGTTGACCAAAATAGGTATACTTGTTGGTGGCACTAGAAGAGCCTCCTGATAGGTAAATGACAATTTCAAAAATTATTACCTGTGCCAATGGAGAGAAGTGTATATAATACACAAAATAGTGGGTTAATATCTGGAATGCAGACATATTTTCAGATATTCTTACATCTTTTCCTTTCCTGAATACTAGACTTCACCTTCCTGTCAGATTAACCCACCACTAAAGGAGACCTCAAAGAAAAAGGAAATAACCACCACATATCATTTTATAGTACGTTCTTGATTTTATTTCAGTGAATATTTTTTCATTTTTTTTTCCCCAGGCTTGGAGTCTTAGGGGAGTAAATTGGGGTCACAGCAGTTAGGACTTCAACAAAGTCTAGTTAATTTTTTAGAACCTTAGGGCAGTTATAGAGGAGTTTGAGGTCACAGGTATAGTTAACATTTAATGTCTGCTTTGGTTTCTTTGTTTTCTAGTGTCATACCAGATTAGCAATAGCATTAGACGAACTCCTTTCACCCCCACAATTGCCATCTGGGGGAAAGGGATTTTTTTTTTTAGCAATTTACCTTTGTGATCCTAGAAATACTTTCAAGAAGTATAAAAATGAATACACAGATATATTTAAATGTTAAACATTGATGTTTGTGGCAAAATAGTCAAGTTTTTAGATTAGAGTGAGGTGCACAGTGGTAAACCAAATTTTAATAACAACATGACCATTCTCCTCTGATACAATTGTTTCCCATTCTCAAAAGGAATTTATGAAAGCTCTAATTACCTTGCCCTATATGGAGAGAATTAAGTGATGAATAGAGTATCACATTTAATATGGATATAGATAATTTTTCTGTAGCCACTATTATAACTCCTAATTTTCAGATTGGTTTGGCATAATATATTGTCTGCCACTAACTAGAAAGGAAAAATTCTAAAAGTCAGAAAATCATATCCTAGGTTCTGAAAGACAATAAGGATATTTTTGAGTTGACTGTGATTGCTGATTTGGAGATCAACTTTGTAAACAGTTGAGACTTACTGTATATACAAGGCTATGAGAATCCTGTCTCATTCTTCTGCAGTATAATTTGCTACATATTGAGAATTTATTCTTCATAATAAATAGCTTTCAGAAGCCTTCTTGTCTTAGATGTAGCTTCATTTTTTGGACACATTGAAGAATCGAGGTCTGATGTAATCCTTATACATAGAATAGAGAACACCTAGAAACAAAAAGATGTATATAAATACAGTATCTGTGGAAAACAAACGCTGAATTTCTTCCACTTGTGTTTTCCCAAAACTATCCCTCAACTCAAAAAACAGATGCCTTCCATCTTATTAACTTTTGGCTTGGATCATATAAGCGGCTCCAGGCAAACAAACAAACCCAAAAAAGTTAGAGCCGTTTAAGATGAATATAAATCAAAATCCAAATTTATAATGTTACTATGCCACCCTAGAATTTGAATTTTAAAATATGGGTGAAAAAGTTAGGAGAGGGCACCTGGGTGGCTCAGTTGGTTAAGCGACTGCCTTCGGCTCAGGTCATGATCCTGGAGTCCCGGCATCGAGTCCCACATTGGGCTCCTTGCTGAGCAGGGAGTCTGCTTCTCCCTCTGACCCTCCTTCCTCTCGTGCTCTCTGTCTCTCATTCTCTCTCTCTCAAATAAATAAATAAAATCTTTAAAAAAAATAAAAATAAATAAAAAAAAGAAAAAAAGGAGAGTGGGGAGATTTGGCTAGATACTAAGATAGAAACAATAGACATCTCAACCTAGCACACCTCTCTTCAGTGCCTACTTGTATTCAGTGTCTCGAGGGAAACAAAGGTGAAAGGGATAGAATCCTTGCTTCTAGAGGTTTACAGTCTAGTGGGTGAATTAGCTAGTAGTCAAGGGAAATAGCCTGAGGGATAGTTGTTTCACTGCGGTGCAGGAACGTCACCAAATGTTCATACCCAAAGCAAGTTAAGGAGTCCGCTCACCTCCCACCCCCAACCATATCAGTTATCAAGACGCCAGCTATCTAGTAGATTGTCTAAACTAAATCCTTTACTTCCTTTCCTTCTGCTTTTTTTTCTGATGCTGCTTGTTGGTATCTTCAAAGAGTGCACAGAGAATAAAGGGTGGGTGAAGTTGTTCTCATCTACACACTGTAGCCAAGCGAGGCAGCTGTTGGCACAATTTTCTAACGCAATAATAGCATAACTGTGACAGATGTATAAAATCCAAGGCAAAAACATGTTTACTTGATGCATTGTGGTATCTATGGAAACATTCTCAGATGCAGAGAGAATTGTAGACCTCCTTTCCCGGTGCTTATTAGACACAGGTAATTCTTACCTCTTGCCTCTCTCTTAAATGTTGGTGTTCTGGAGTTCTGATCTCAGCGTTTTCTCACCTCATTCATACCTGTTGCTTCACTGGTAAGCAAGTTAGATCTCTTTGAATGTGAGACCCATATACTCATTATACCATATGTGAAATTTCCACATACATAGGCTGCCAAACTTTTAAATTGTGCATAAATAAATAAGTTGAGAATGCCGCTCGAAGTGTCCGTTTATTTATAAACAGTATAAATGTACTCTGGCCAATCTATATATGCGTGAACTTTTTTGTTTTCAAGATAAAAATATTTTCGGGCAGCCCTCTCGGGTCTGCCCCCTCTTCGGAAGCTTTTGTACTCTCACTCGGTAAACTTTACTATCACTTAATAAACTTTGCATTGCTGCCCACCAAAAAAAAAAAAAAAAAAGATAAAAATATCTTCTTCCCGCATACCCATGGATCTCCTTATACATCTCCTAGGGTATGAGTACTCTAATTTGGAGATGTCTGCCATAGGCATCTCAGTCCGTATAATATAAAATTACGAGTTCAGGCTGTGGAGTAGATAGCCCATGCAATTGTGAGCGAGAAGTTTTTTTCCTCTCTAAGCCTTGGTTTCCTTATCTGGAAATGGGATTATAACAGCACCTCCCTCTTAGGGTATTGTTAATAAAGACTTTGGTCTTTGTCCGGAGTTCTTGGGTTAGAGCTTCTAAAATGCTTGGAATTTCCCAGATAGAGAGGGGCACTTGGGTGGCTCAGTTGTTGAACATCTGCCTTCGGCTCAGATCATGATCCCAGGGTCCTGGGATCGAGCCCTGTATCGGGCTCTCTGCTCAATGGGGAGCCTACTTCTCCCTCTGCCTGCCACTCCCCCTGCTTATGTGCGCTCTCTTTCTCTCTCTCAGTCAAATAAATAAAATCTTAAAAAAACTTCCCAGATAGGAAGGAGTATCTTGTTATTCATGAGCCCCTTGGATTATACCTGAATTTATGTTAATGGGGTGACCCATGGTGGGCTCCCTAGATAACTTCAGGATGTGGCTAGTCATGCCAGAAGGACCAACCATATGATTAGAGCGTTCTTAGACCTCCAGGGAGGGGAGTAGGGCTGGAGATTAAGTTCTGTCATGAGGCCAGTGATTCAGTCAATCATGCCTACATAATGAAGCCACCATAAAAACTCTGGATGCTGAAGCTCAGTGCACTTTCTTGGTTGGTAGACACATTGATGTGCTGGAAGGGTGGCATGCCCTGATTCCATAGGGAAAGGGTATAGAGCTTTGAGTTTGGGACCCTCCCATACCTTACCCTACATGTCTCAATTTGCCTGGTCTTGATTTATATACTTCTTAATAAAACTGTAGTAAGTATAGAGCTTTCCTGAGTTCGTAAGTTGTTCTAGTGAAATATCAAACCTGAGGGAGTCTTGGGAACCTCTGAATTTGCAGCCAGTTGGTCAGAAGTGCAGGTGGCCGGGGCACCCCCCCTGGTGGCTGGTGTCTGCAGTAACGGCAGTCTCTGGGAACCATGTCCATAAACCTGTGGCATCTAAGGTGAGCTGCAGGTGGTTGGCATCGGCACTGAAGTGTATTGCGGTACGTGGTGTGAAGGAGGTTATTAAGATTAAATCACTGTAGTGTACACCTAACATAACACTATATGTTAACTCTACTGGGATGAAAATAAAAACTTAATAATAAAGTTTACCTACAAAAAATTAAATGAGATAGTAATATATAAGTTGCACATCATAAACACTCATTAACTATTAGCTATTACTGTTTTGTCCAATATGCACTTATCCTCTCACCAAACCTGTTCTTCGTTCTTTATATTAGTGAAAGCACACCTTTTATCTGGTTGCCCGAGCCAGAAACCTAGGAATCAGCCTTGACTCCTCCTTCCTTCCTTTTCTTTCCCACTTAGTTGGTGAGTCCTGAATGTTTCTAGAATCCCTCTCCTCCCCATTTTCACTATTCCTGCTTTAATTCAGACTTAGTTCATCGTCTAATTGACTTCTCTGCCTTTGTTCTCACCCCTGCTTTACAAATCCTCTCTAATCATTTTCCTAACCCTCATAGTGAAATATAATATGCATGGAAAATGGTAGACACAATCTAAACAACCAGATTAAAAGATAGTTGTAGAGTGAATTACCTGGAATTGTGGGTCAAGAAATAGAATATAGGAAGCATCCTGGAAGCCCCGCAGCTTTCCCTCTCTGACCATATCTCCCGCTCCTTTCCACAGATAACCACTGTTCTGTCTTTTGTTAGTGTGACCCTCTGTTTAAACAGTTTCATATTGCCTGTGTTTGAGCAGGCATCTTTCTCAGCTGCTATCATGACTACCTTACTCCCCTGTTTAAATCTTCCACTGACTCATGTCATCTTGTTAACGCCTCAGCTTGCAACCATATGCATCTATCGGGGATTTGTTTTCCATCAGTTTCACTATGCCATAACTGGTTTTTTGTTTGTTTGTTTGTTTTTATTTTTATTTTTTAAAGATTTTATTTATTTGACAGAGAGAAACACAGCGAGAGAGGGAACACAAGCAGGGGGAGTGAGAGAGGGAGAAGCAGGCTTCCCGCGGAGCAGGGAGCCGGATGCGGGGCTCGATCCCAGGACCCTGGGACCATGACCTGAGCCGAAGGCAGACGCTTAACAACTGAGCCACCCAGGCGCCCCTGCCATAACTGTTTTTTGTGGAATTCCCGTCCCTGCATATTTCTGGGTTAGCTTGGCTCATAAGAGACATTTTGCTTGAGATTTGAAGGTGAAAGTTGATGCAGCAGCTGCTATATGCTTTTTACACTTGGAGGGCTTGGTGCAGGGTGCCAGGCGCTGTTACAGCTTGTGCATGTTGTTGTTTACCTGCTGGCTCACCTTGCCATTGTTGGACAGCAGTCAGACCCACAGATCTTTCAGCTCCTTCTGGATCTCCTTTAGCTTCTTCAGCTCCTAGGCCAGGGGATGAGCTCCATGATAGGGGGTCCACCTTCTCCTACAGGTCACACCATGATCAAAGTTGGAGTCCGTAAAAGACTGACCCAAGTTTCTGTTTGTGAGTTCCAGCTCTTCCTTGAAGATTCCAGTTTATTTTGCCTTCCCAACTGCTGCCTTGCTAACTTTAGGCCCCAGCCTTAGAAACGTAAGCAACAGTCTAACATGGACTGTTTAACCAGCTCTCAAAATTGGTTAGGGTCATATTTCTATAATAAATCCCTTTTTGTATATCACTACTGGTAGTTTTGCTTCTCTGACTGAACCCTGACTGATACAGATTATGGTATCACAAGCTTCCAGAGGAACATAACCATGAGGGTAGGTTCTGGGTCATCTGGAATTGGTTCTCTGATCTGATTAGATTTAAAGATATTAATGGCCATTTTTTTCCAGTAGTAAAGAGGATGCTAGCAGTCCATGGCATGCAGTAGTAAAATGTTTTTTTAGATTGTCACCTATAGATAACCTTAATCAGATGCCTATAGAAACCAGGCTTTGGGTGATCAGATATTTACTGTCATAGGACATTTAGTGGAGATAAGGGGTATAATTAGGCTGGTTTCTTCTAAGTGTGCTGGAGAACTTGGGAACACAAAATGATGGACTCGGGGCTTTTAATTCCTTAATCCAGGTTCTGTGAGGGACCTGAAAACTGTATGACTTTCCAGAAAAAAAACTCAGCTCCCATAGTTATGAGGCTGATATTTTTGGAAAAACATACACAGGAACTAATCCTGTTGGTGGCTAATTACAACAACAGTAAAACTCCCAACCTCACAGAGTCTCTTATGTCCAAGTTAGGGCATTTCTTTGGAAAGAGTGGGATCCTGAAAATCAGGATGGGGACCTATGGGCAGGTTTCCGTGAGACGGGGTCCTTGGACCCCTGTATCTGAGACTCCTTTGTACTCCTTCCTGCGAATGACTAAAACTTGGCCTGAAAGGTAATCTCCACTAAATGAAGTTGAAATGCCAGAGCTTTCTTGGTTTATGTCCAGGGTACAGCAGTACGGCAGTCATTCTTCTTTACGGGGGCAATTTCATTCCCCAGGGAAATCTGGCAATGTCTGGAGGCATTTTGGTTGTCACAGTGGAGGTGGATGGAGGCTATTTGCATGGTAGATGCTGGGGATGCTGCTGAACATCCTGTAAAGCAGGATGACAGCCCTCCACAACAAAGAATATTCAGTCCAAAATGTCAGTAGTGCTGAGATTGAGAAACCCTGCTGTTAAGGAGGGTATCCAAGGGCTTAGGGAGATTGGAATGTTACAGTGGATTTTTCCTGCTCCCTTACCCCCTAAATCTGTTTCCTTCACCAAGGCTGTGCGAATTATCCTTAATATTTGTGAAAGGAGTCCCTGGCATCCTTGGAGAGTTCTGTGGCGACTGTCTTCTGTAAGCCAGAAATGACAGTGGGACTTGCTAGGCTTTCTGAAGTCAGTGGAGATGATGGGATCCTGAGTGGCAGGGGTCAAGTGGCATCATTTACTTGACAAAGACAGGGAAAGCGTGATTACTGTAATGCGCAGCAAAGACTAAACAGTAATCCGCATAGTCAAAGCCACAAAGATCTTTGGCATTGGCTGATTGATTATGGTGTCCCTAGAGTTGAAAGTGGTGGGCAGCATACCAGCAGAAAAGCTCTAGGTTTGGTGAGTAGAAGTTTCACTTGAATCATCACAGTAGACAGCCATGGCCCCCTGACCAGGTCCCAGATTTGAGTCACTTTACAGACCCAGAGCCCCTTGAATAAAGGAGAGGTCAGACCTCCTTAAGAAAAGACCCTGTTACACAGCCAAAAATATAAATACTGTAAATCCTCCGTCTAGCCTTTCCTAAAGGGATCTGTGACCATTCAGCAAGGTGCCTGTGCACGAGGAAGGGCAAATAATCACATTTGTGGGAGATTATTAAATATTGGTTCTGAATTGATACTGATGCCTTGAGAATTAGGGTGGTCTACCAGTTAAGCTAGGAGTTTATGGAGGTCAGGGTGGCCTGGTGGGTCCCTGAATTATTTTGCCAGTTCTGGAATGTGTGATTGGAATGGACAAACGCAGCAACTGTCAGAATCCTCACATTGGTTCCCTGTGGTGTAAGGGCTATTATGGTTGGGAAAGCCCACTGTAAGCCGTTCTACTTGCCATAATCTAGTCTGCAAGGACCTTGATCATCTCTCCATTCCACAGGACATTGTGTTAGTCCATTGCATCGATCTGATCTGACTATCAAGGGGAAATTAGGTTACTACTATACTATCCAAAGGTAGGGTAAGGAGGTGTGTGTCTGGAATGCATATCTTCTGGGGCATTTTATAGTACTCCCATATCCTGTGATTAAAGACAATGGAAAACTGTACCCAGTACAAGCAGGATGGCTAATGACCCAGACCATTTAGGAATAAGGTATGGGTCACCATACCAGTCAAATAACCTTGAATAGCCAAGGTATGGGTCACCATACCAGTCAAATAACCTTGAATAGCAAAGGGAGTATGAAATGGCTAGAACATGGTTGGAACACCAGCCATGACTGTCTGACCAGTTGTAGAAACAAGGTCTGATAGCTATGAATATTTCTTCTTTATTTTGATTTGAATACATTTGTGTATACATTAACCATTTTTTTTCCTATTTGCCATTTCCCTTTATCTGCCATCGAATGTAAGAAGTGTTAATAATAATTATCCTTGTATTTCAGAATTTAGCTTACAGGATATCAAAGGGGAATGTGACTCTGCTCAAAGACAAATCAACACCACTCAAAGATGGATAAAGGGATTTTGTATCCCCTTTTGGGAGAGAATTAGCATGTTTATGGTTATACATTGGATGGTTGATTTTGCCATTGTCTTAATTTCAAAGTTAAGTGTAATAAAAGAGGTGTCGTATGGATGCCAATAAAGGAGAGGTCAGACCTCCTTAAGAAAAGACCCTGTTACACAGCCAGAAATACAAATTTTTGCTGAACATCCTGTAAAGCACATGACAGCCCTCCTTTTTAAAGGGGTAGACAGTGGTGAATTTGTATTGTGTCAACTTAGCTAAACTGTAACTACATTTTCCAGAATTCATTTCCTTTTATTCCCTGAGTTATTGCAGAAGGGACATTTTGTGTAGGGTTTAGAAGGCAGAGGTGAAGCAGCAGCCAAATTCATTTTATGCTTGGAAGGCCCTGTTGCAGCGTATTTTTGCTTACCTGCTGGCCCCGTTTGTTGGTGTGGGGCAGCAGCTAGGGGTACAGCTACTGTGGCTTCTGCTGAATTTCCTCCTTCACCTTTCCTGACTCCTTGGCCAGGTCCATGTTTGGCTCCAAGATGAAGGGCATCGTTTTTTCCCCCGTCACTCCCGTCATCGAATTTAGAGGCTTAAAGATGGTGAGAAACCCACGAGGGTCCCAGACAGTTCATCCTGCGTGTTCCCAGCTCATCCTTGCAGGCTCCAGATTTTTCTTGCTCCTCTCACTTTGTATCTCCTTTTTCGTTCTAAGTGCTTGCCCTGCCCGCTTGGGGCCCCAGCTGCTGATAAATACGCAAGAGCCTCGCCATTACGTAATTCCAAATGCCTATAATAAATCTCTTATTACATATTACTACTAGTAGCTCTGCTTCTCTCATCAAACACCGATTGATTCACTTACCACACCAAGCTACGTTGAGTTCCACTAATGTGCCATGCTTCTGTGCCTTTGTTTTTTCCTCGGTCTAGAATCCTGATCTCCTTCTCTGACTAGCTAATTCTTCCACATGCTTGGCTCATATAATTTACATCCTGAGCGAAGCCTCCCCTGGACTCTCAGCACTAGGTACAGGCCCCTCCTTTGTGTTTGTGCTTCCAGAGCAACCTGTGCCATCTCTGTCATAGTATCTGTGATTTATACCGGCTTCTTCTGTTCTTGGTCATTCACCCCAAGGAGACCAGCCTCTTTGAGGGAAGGGACTGAGTCTTATCTCATTATCTCTAGACTGGCACAGGGCCTTGGACATAGCAAGTGCACAGCAGATGTTTGCTAAATGATGAAAATGGCACTGTAATTCTGTGGTGAAGTTTCTCATATTTTGTTCAACACCTGCATATCACAGGTCATGGTAATAAGATAATTACCATACAACTCCCTATACGCAAGCCCCACACCCATCATTCCATAATCCTAGACCTCCTCTTAGGCTGACTCTACCCTGCACAGCATGAAGGAGAACTAAGAACATTGTGACTTGTTCTCATTAATGTAGACAAAAAGAAAGTTAGATAATTAAGGTCCTGAAGTGGACTTCTTGTTAGAACTATCTGGTTTAGCTGTTGATATACCTGGATTTAACCAGATAATTTTACATCTGTTCTTTGGATTTGACTATGTTAAGTATTACTTAATTTATAGACTAATTAGAAAAGGTTTGCCTATTGCTCAGACTGGGAATAAAAGGAGAACAGATGTTGAGACTTGTGGGCTCTAAAACTGTATTCTTCCCAGTTAAACTACATTAATAATTATATCTGCTATTCACATAGGCTGGGAACTTGACTTAGGAGAGTGTTAAAGGCTGGAATCTAGAACCACTGCTTTAGTTGGGTTACAGAGGGTACAAACTATTCACTACTCCTTTCACTATACAAGATAACAGAACCCATAACCTAGTTCTCTACCTTTTATAGTTTTTTTTTTAAGATTTTTATTTTCTTATTGAGAGATAGAGAGAGAGAGAGCATGAGAGGGAGGAAGGTCAGAGGGAGAAGCAGACTCCCTGCTGAGCAGGGAGCCCGACGTGGGACTCGATCCTGGGACTCCAGGATCATGACCTGAGCCGAAGGCAGTTGCTAAACCAACTGAGCCACCCAGGCACCCTAGTTCTCTACCTTTTAAAAAAATTTTTAGGTATAATTGACCTACAACATTATATTAGTTACAGGTGTACAACAAGGATTCATTACTTGCATGTACTGTAGCGATCACCACAGTAAGTCCGTTAACATTTGTAACCTGCATAGTTAAAGGATTTTTTTTCTTGTGTTGAGAACTTTTAAGATCTACTCTCTTAGCAACTTTCAGATATACCAAACAGTATTATTAACTACAGTCAGAATGCTGTGCATTACATCCCCAGGACTTACTTATTTTATTTTATTTCTATTATTTAAGATTTTATTTATTTATTTGAGAGACAGAGTGTGTGCGAGAGCGGGGGGGCAGGGGGGAAGGGTGAGGGACAAGCAGACTCCCCACTGAGTGCAGAGCCCAATGTGGGGTTTGATCCCATGACCCTGAGATCATGACCTGAGCTGAAATCAAGAGTTGGACGCTCAACGGATTAAACCCCCAGATTCCCCAGGACTTACTTATTTTATAACTGGAAGTTTGTACCTTTTGTCTACTGTTTTTTTCTTTCAGTGCTTAAAATACCAAGAAATTAAAGCCTCTTATGGGGAAGCAACTTCAGCCAAGTGAAGTTCGCTGTCTTTCTTACCATTCTGCCTCCATTATATCACCTTGACCCAATATTCATTTTCTAAAATAAGTTAAAATATTCTCAAAGACAGCTGAACACAAGACAGAAATTAAGCAGGTTACCTAGAGTCACAGCTCCTACAACAAATCCTTGGGCAGCAACTCTCATGTGAATAAGATGAATGGACATTTTCTGATCTTTTCTGTACTTTAACTTGTAAAGACCATAGGACACCACAGTCATAAAGCCTGCTATTCCTGTGAATTAAAAAAGTAGAGGTTATGTAAATAGTAGGCTAGAATCCCCAAGATTTAGAGGGCTGAATAGAAAACTGTCCAAAAGGATCAGTACTTGGAAGATAAGCAGGCCAGATACCAAAGAATACTTTAAGAAGAACTATGCTGGATTTGACCCACCAGATTTTAAAACAGACTCATGGATTCAATATTTGCAGTGTTGACTCTTCCCCAAAAAACCTGAATCATGTAGTGTAGTAATTTCTAATGTTCCTGAGGCATGATTTCATATTGTGCATGGTGAAAGGCTTTTATTTAGGGGCAAGTCACTAATCCAGTGAGCAAACCAACCAAACATTCCAGCATCCATAGCTTTTAAATGTTTGGCTTTACTCCTCTCTACTTGCTATCAAATAAGGAGTAAATATTTTGATCTTCTATAAAAATGAGATATTTAAATTTTAATGAGATGAAAAGGTATGACTATTTGCCTAAGAAGTATGTGACTCCAGAAAGATCTGTGACTCTAGAAAACTCCAGAAGTACACACAAGTATTTCTGTATTCCCTACAAATGTCAAGGGGTGAATATACTGCTGTGACAACCAAGATCCTGTGTAATTGGCTCTAATACAGAAAACTGATCAACTGAATAGGAAAGATTCTAGAAAGAGATTTTAAAACACTGTGAGAACTTAATTCATGACAAATCAAAATAACCAAGTAACAGATCAAGGAATAGTTACTTAATAAATACCATCAGTACAATCTTTTGGTAGGGTGAACTAATTTGGATTTGTATCTCACAGCAGACCTACAAAAAAAATTCTGCATGGGTTAGAATTAAATGTAAAAACAAAAAAAAATCAACAAAAACTAGAAGAAAACAGAGTAGCATATTTATAACATCAAAAGAAGGTAAAGTAGACTTTAGAGAAGATGAGGACAAAATGCCATATTTTGATGTAAGAATAGAGAAAACTTTGCATAATAAAAGCATGGTTTATATTTTGGCTTCTCTCTTATATCTTGTTGATGTATGTATTTATCCCTCTAGCAACACTACACTGTCTTGATTACTGTAGCCATATAGTATGCCTCTATCAGGTACAGTGATTTCTCCCACTTTATCCTTTTTTTTTTTTAAAGATTGTTTTAGCCATTCTAGGACTTCTGCCTTCACATATAAATTTTAGAATAAGTGTGTCTTATCTACAAAAAACCTTGCTGGGATTTTGATAGGAATTACCTGAAACCTATAGATCAATTTGGAGAGAACTGACATATATTCTTTATATTTACATTCTTCTTTACTATATATTTAGTCTTGCAATCCATAGACACAATACTACATGTAGTCTTTACATTATCTAGGTCCTTTCTGATTTTTCATTAACATTTTATAATTTTCAGCATACAGATTGTATACATGTTTTGTTAAGCATATATCTAAGCATTTCATTTTCTTTGGAGTGATTGTGAATGGTGTTATGTTTTTAATTTCAGTTTCCATATGTTAATATATAGACATGCAATTATATTTATGTAGGATAGCAAGTTTTGATTAGTTATGTTGGCACATGTGTGTCTCTATGGGTGGGTGAGGGTATATTCTTTCAGAATCCATTTAATAGATGGAAGTAAGAGAGTAATTGCATTTACATGTATATTTTATAGGCTGACTAGCAAATGAAATAAAAATTAAAATGACAAAAACAGCAAAAAACCAATACTAATAAAAGAGTGGTAGGCACGTTGACAAACAGGCACAATGTTGAAAGCTCTGTAAATTTAGCCAAATCTTAAGAACTCTGGAAATATATAAGTGGTATTAAACTGAACATGCTTCCTGCCCTGGAAATTCATATTCCAAGGAAATAAGCAAAAGAAACATCAGGAAGTTGACACAAAGATGTTTATGGCTACACTACATATGAGGAAAAACTAAACAACAACAACAAAAACTGAACAACAAACTGAAATGGCCCAAACGGAGGAACTACCATAGCTATGAAAAAAATTGTAAGTATAGGAAATACCAATACACAGAAATGTACATATGAAAATGTTAAGTGAAAGGAGTAAAAACAAATTATCAACAGAGTTTCTATATATATATATATATATATAATGTATGTACAGACCTTGACAGTGATCATAAGACAAATTTAAACAATATAAATAGATTATAATGATGGAAGTTGTTTAATAAATAAAAATGTTTTGTAAATTCTCTGCACAGGACACTATCCTGCAGTAGGAAATACATAGTAGATATTATTAAAATAACAATAGCCAAACTATTCAACAGTATATATTCAAATTTTATCATTTATTTTTCTAGCAAAATCTTGATTCTCTTCCCTTATCAAATTAAGGCTCTCTTCTTAGTCAAATTGATTTTGTTTCCTTTGGAGATTAAAGTCAGAACCTTTACTGTTTTCCATATAGTGTCTCTGCAGTTTGTATATAATTGAATTTAGCTGGAAACACTTTTATCTTTCTACTTTAATCACCCTAAATGTCTCTGGAAAAATAATTCAATTTATGATAGGTACAGTGATTAATCTCTGTTCATGATAGTGATCTGTTCAAGTGGCATCAAGTTCTTGAATTGTTTTTCTAGTTAAAAATGCTAAGGAGGATGAATTAATCACTATAACATTATTTGCTTCCATTTTTTATGGGTGCTATTATCAGTTTTAATCAAATTAAACTTCTAAACAGCATATTAGTATAAAGTAAAATTTTTATTCTTTTTGATATGGAAATCATGACACAAAGTTGCTAGATTTGCAGTGACAATGAAAACTAACGACATACCTATTCGGAAGGTTTTAAGGAATTAATCACTTATGTAAGTGTAACTTACATAATGTCTCCTTTAAATAAGTTATCTTAATAGTTTCCAGGCCAAACGAGTACCAGGAAAGAGTCAATCAAGGCTGCAGTATATAATATGCTTAGATTAGCTTAAGCATCCAAAAGAAGAAAGAGAAAGCTTAGGTTTTTAAAACATAATATTGGTGCTTAGATTTTGTGGATTTTTTTAAAAGTCCAGATACATATAGTATTTGTTCTAAATGTAAACATATTAAATCTGTGTTGGGAAAGGAAAAAGAGGCTAAGACTCCAGGTCTAATTATAATAACACTTCTTTAATCTAGAGTTTACTTAACCATCAAGCTTAACATCTGGAACACATCAGGAAACCAGCAAAAAGGGCCACTGAACATGCACATCACAAAGTTCATGCCCTCAAGTGTCCGGACAGGTAGGTAGCCTAGGCTTTCACTCAGAGCTTCTTGACTCTGAATTGACTCACAATTCCTTTGAACTTATGTATCTAGCTTCTGGTGCCACAGAATACTAGAGGCAGAAGTTTTTGATTGTACTCAACATTAATTGGAAGAGACAGAAAAATCTGTAAACATCAGACACAAGACCTTAAAGGTTGGAGTTAGGGGACAAAGAGACGCCGACATCTCCGTCACTAACAGACTTTCAATATAATAAGCTGATGCTGCTGATGATCTTGCATCATCACAGAAGTGTTAAAATGCATTCAATCTAGTCCAGTTAGAGTGGGTAGGAATTAGTAATTTGAGACAGACCTCTAATGAAGGGGAGTTAAATATATAAGAGTGGAAGCTTCCTAATAATAATAATAGCTAACATTTATTGGGGATTTGCCATATACTGGAAACTGTTCTGAAAGTTTAACTCACCTTAGAGGGGGTTAGCTTCAATTACTTGAAAAAATTCAATGATATAAAACATTTCATTCCTCAAAGATACTGGGTAAAGCATTGTGATTGCAGATAGTTCTCCAGTGTCCAGTCAAGGCTCATACTTACCTACGGGGACAAATGGGGAGTCCCTAGATTTCCTGATCAGCCGGGAGAGTTGGCCTTCTTCCTCATCTGCTGACCACTGGTTATCTGAAGACATTTTTCTCTGTGGTTGCTGCAAATCATTAAAAATCCATTTATCCTCTCCCAGTATATTGTTGATCATGTGTTCGTCTGTCTTCAATTTGCTTGATCTGCCTGTCTGCCCAATTGAAATAAACAGTCATGTTTCCTTCACCGTTTTCATTATGGAATCCTTTCATTTTGTTTGGGGTAAAGGGTAAAAGTAAAGAGAGGTGATGATAATCAGATTCCATGAATACAGAGTAAAGACATCATAATTGGGTTTTTCAGTCTCCTTTCACTGCTCAGCATTTGAGGTCATTGGGAATCTCAGAACTTCTTCCACAAACAGTAAGAGAATACTTTTACAAAATATCATTTTAAAGAATGATGGCAGTGCCAACATAGGCAAAATTACCTCCAAATTTACAGGTGATGGGAGAATGACCACTGCAATTCTTCAGAATGTGCAGGGCGTTATAAAGTCATTGAGATATTTACCGAGCACCCACCACGTGACAGGTGCTATGCTAGACAATGGAAATAATCTTCCTTGTCTACACAGGAATGAGGAAACTCACAAGAGCAACTATAATCACAGTCACCACAGTTTAGCAAGCACCGCAGTCCGTTATCCATGCAACCCACCATTTTCACCTAATACTGTGACTTCATCCTATGAATCAGCTTTCATCAGAAAATGTAACCTGGTAAGTGGCAGAAGCACCATACCTGTGGCGTACCCCTGCTGTCTCCTGGTGTTCCTTCAGCAGGAAGCTGTAGATCAGAAGAGGCTTTGTAAGGCCAGGACACATTTATGTGCAATTTCCTACTAATTGACAATGGGAAAGCCCAGAAACAACCCTCCCCAAACCCCCGGGGGGGGCGTGGCCATCTGGTATTGGCCAAGGTTTCCACATCCCCTGCTTGGAAACTCACAAGTAACAGCACCTGGACCACAAACACTAGGTTTTCAAGGATATTAAGGAAACATTAAGGCTTTGAAGAAGATGCTTTTACTTTTACTCTGCCTTCACAGGGAGCTCCCAACTTCCTTCTGTGGCTGGGAGTCCCACTACCTGATTCCAGGGCCCCAAATCAAGAGGAAAGTGGGCCCATGTACAACACTGGGCTTTGGTGGCAGCGGGCTGTTTTAGCCCTCTGAGGCCAAGATTCTTGTCTTTAAAGAATATGCACTTGCTAGAGGGGCACCCACTGGGGCCCGGATCCTGGGCTCAGGTGCCACGAGCCTGTCCGGGGTCACCTGGAGGCAAGGCCTTCACACCTGCGACCATTGCATAGCCTCGAGCTGCACGAGCGCCCAGCTGCAAAGGACGTGATGTCACTAGGCCCGCGGCCAATCAGAGGGCCGGGCGGGTGGACGGGTGCAGGAAGGTGCTGAGTGAGCCGCTGCTCTGCGCCTGTGCGGGGAGCATGTGGGAAGTCATGTGGCTCCCGGGGCGGGTTGGTGGTGGACACTGCTTTCGCTTCTGTTGTACCCCGCAGCCTTCCGGCGCTTGAGGCCTCGGGGACGTCCTGGCTCACCGCCTCTTTCTGACCGCAGCCACAAAGATGAGCGCAGAAGACCACGTAGCGTTCACGGTTTTTTCCTTATAACGCTAATATTTTAAATAATTTCAAATTTGCAGAGAAATTCCCAGAATACTGCACAGAATTGCATGTCCGACACCCACATTCCCTTTTGTTAACATTTAGCCACATTTGCTTTATCATTTTTCTCAAGAAAAATTTGTTTCTTCCTGAGAACCATCTGAGAGCAAGTTGCATACTGAGGCGCCCTAACCCCTAAAAACTTCTGTAGGCATTTGGGGCATTCTTTTCTGTAGCCATAGTACCATGGTCAGAATCGGAATATTACTATGCTATAATACTATAATTGAAAGTTTTTTTTTTTTTTAAGATTTTATTTATTTGACAGAGAGAGACACAGCGAGAGAGGGAACACAAGCAGGGGGAATGGGAGAGGGAGAAGGGACGTCCCCGAGGCCTTCCTGCTGAGCAGGGAGCCCGATGCGGGGCTCGATCCCAGGACCCTGGGACCATGACCCGAGCCGAAGGCAGACGCTTAATGACTGAGCCACCCAGCCGCCCCTACAATCGAAAGGTTTTATTTTTATTTCACCAAATAAGTTCCCAATGATGACCTTAATGACAATTTTTTTCCTAATCTAAGATTCAATCAGGAATGCATACTGCATTTGGTTGTCAAGTCTTTCTATTCTCCTCTAACTTGGAACGTTTCCTTCGTCGTATTAGTCAAGATTCTCTAGAGAAACAGAACCAATAGGAGATATATATGCATACATATAAACACACACATATATATACACACAAGTATATATGTATGAGCTTGCATATATCTCCATATGCCTATATTCATGTATATATACATATAGATGAGATTTATTGTAGGAATTGCCTCATGATTGTGGGGGCTGAGAAGTCTCATGATCTGCCATCTGCAAGCTGGCAATAGTGTAAGTCCCTGTCCAAGTCTGAAGGCCTGAGAACGAGGAGCATTGACGTCTGAGGTCAGAAGATGTCCCAGCTTAGGCAGGGAGCAAATTCACCCTTCCTCTGCCTTTTTGTTCTGTTTAGGCCCTCAGTTGATTTGATGATGCTCAGCTGCATTGGTGAGGGTGATCTTTATTCAGTCGGCCAACTCAAGTGCTAATCTCTGCTGGAGACACCCTCACAGACACACCCAGAAATAACTTTTACCAGCTATCTGAGCATCCCTTAGCCCAGTCAAGTTGACATACAAAGCTCATCCTCACAATCTTCTTTTGTCTCATGACCCTGATATTTTGCTAATGCAGGCCAGTTATATTGTAGGATGTTTCTCAATTTAGTTTTTTCTGATACTTTCTCATCATTAGGTTGAAGTTATAGATTTTTGGCAGAATACCACAAAAGTGATCCCGTGTCCTTCTTGGTGTGCAATATCAGAGGCACATAAGTTAGTTTGTTTGGTGGTAGTAACTTTGATCCACTATATTTCCGATAAGTGTCTAACAACTGGTTATCCAGAGGGGAAAAAAAGTCCTGATTTACAAATCTACTAATTTTAATTTACAAATTTACTAATTTACATGGTGTAAATACTCCCACAATGGCCAATTTCAGGCTACTGTTATGTCATCACTAAACACAAAATTGGGAAGATATGGGCCACTCCTGAGTTGGTGTGAGTTGACTCTGGCACACCACAATTTTATCACTTGGATTAAGGTGGTATCTGCCAATTTCTCCGCTGTAAAATTACCATTTTTCCCCTTTATACGAAATATTTTGTGAGGAGATACTTTAGTATTATATAAATATACTGTTATTTATCAGACTTTTACCCATTGATGATCCTTGCCTGAATCAATTAATGTTGTTTGCCAGATGATCATTTTCTAAATCTATCATTCTTTTTATAATTTTCAGTTGGCATTCTAATATAACAAATTGCTTCCCCTTCTTTCCTATTTTATTTTTTAAAATTTTTAAAAAAGATTTATTTATTTAGAGAGAGCACATGCATGTGTGCACATGTGAGGGGGTGGGGAGCAGAGGGAGAGAGAGCAATCCCAAGCAGACTCCCCACTGAGATCAATCCCACAACCCTGAAACCATGATCTGAGCTGAAATCAAGAGTGGGATGCTGGGGCGCCTGGGTGGCTCAGTCGTTAGGCATCTGCCTTTGGCTTACGTCATGATCCCAGGGTCCTGGGATCCAGCCCCACATCGGGCTCCCTGCTCGGCGGGAAGCCTGCTTCCCCCTCTCCCACTCCCCCTGCTTCTGTTCCCTCTCTCTCTGTGTCTCTGTCAAATAAATAAAATCTTTGGGGTGCCTGGGTGGCTCAGTCGTTAGGCGTCTGCCTTCGGCTCGGGTCATGATCCCGGGGTCCTGGGATCGAGCCCCGCATCGGGCTCCCTGCTCCTGGGGAAGCCTGCTTCTCCCTCTCCCACTCCCCCTGCTTGTGTTCCCTCTCTTGCTGTGTCTCTCTCTGTCAAATAAATAAATAAAATCTTAAAAAAAAAAAGTCAGATGCTTAACTGATCGAGCACCCAGGGGCTCCTCCCTCCCCCACATTTTTTTTTCATCTTTCCTATGTAATTAATCATTTATATCATTTTGGACTCATGAATTTCTATTTCATTCAGTGGCTTATAATCCATTGCTATCATTATTTATTTTGATAGTCAAATTGTCCCAGATTTGGCTAGTGGTAGCCCCTTTAAGCTGGCTTCTATGTCCTATTGACATGACCCCATCTTTCTTCAAACATTCTTCTTTATATTCTGGCATAACAAGATGTTCCAGGCTAAACTTGTACTTTTTCTGCCCCAGCCCTGAAATCAGCCATTTTTTTATGGAGCCCTGATTCATTTTAGTGGAGAATGGTATTTAGAAACCAAGTTCTGAGCATTAGAGGTGTTCATTGTTACTGGAGTGTCATTATTTCTAGGCCCTCTCAGCAGACAGAATTAGGATTTATATCTATGTCTATTTGTATTCCTATGTATCTATATTAAAATCATGAGTGGGTAGTAACATCTCCAAGTTCAACCCAATTCCACAAGGTTCATTCTAGTCTTCCCCTTTTCATATTTGTGATTCCTTTCTCTCTGAGAGACCTGGCTCCCACTATCTTCAGGATATTTACTTATTTGCTTAATTCTAGAGTACACAAAAGTTCATTTCAGAATTTCTGACCCATGCTTCTGTGAAAAACAAGCCCATTAAATATTTTTTATAGTTCTTTTTTGTCAGAGGGAATATAGTCAAAATACTGCCTTCAAAAATCACTTGGAATGAAAACATATTTCTATACAAAAACTTGCGTGCAGATATCCATAGCATCATTATTCTCAATAGCCAATAAATGGAAACAACCCAAACATCCATCATTTGATGGAGAAATAAAATGTGTTATAGCCATACAATGGAATATTATTTGGGCATAAAAAGAAATGAAGTACTGATAGGTGCTAAATGATAGATGAATCTTGAAAACATGCTAAGTG